TGTAATGACAAAGACCGACAAAAGGCAATGGTTCCCTGTAACACCCTAGCGGAAATGCCACTGTTAAATTTTATACTCTACAAGCAGCTAGTTCAACTTTCCAACGGTTAACGGCCAACCTGGTACTGTCATTCCTATGTTAAAATAATGTATATATATATATATATTTATATATTATATATATATATTATATATATATATTATATATATAAAGCTAAAAAGGATCACAAACTTTTGAGAAAACTGTAACCCGTATATACCTACCAACCGCACACTTGATGAATGAAAGGTCTTGGTTCAAAACTTCACAAAAAATATGTGTTTTTCAATAAACCTTCTCCTAAGGTCAGATAAATTAAATGAAAGGATATCTTGTTTAAGGATTGTTTTTATTACGTTTAAAATATTGAAAATAAGTCAGCTGTTACGTTTGATTTTATTTATAATTTATTTGTCTACTTTTACCCATAGTTAACCTTTTATTCCCTTTACATTCTCTATGTTTACATTACAAACAAATTTATTTGTTTTGATTCTGCCACACAGCATAATGATAATACAAAAGAAATCTTCATTTAAATAAGCAATAAGTACGATTGAGCTTTGCCTCCATGATCCTTGGTAAGTGTAATGTTTCTATTTTTTATAGTCCTATAATCCCCTGCGATTAAAAAGAAATAGTAGGCCTAGCTATTTTTACTCAACTTATCAGGAACATACCTTGACATCGTAATTGTTGTTTTCCGACAGAAAATAAAATAGTATATATTTAACAACTTCGGAAAACCTAAGGGCTCAGATATGGGGCTCGGATAATAGGCACTGCATATATATGTGTGTGTCCGTTAGTATGATAACTTGAGTAAAAGCCATGCAATTATGTAATTTATGCAATTATGATGCAATTTGATACAATGATGTAGATCTATGTTTATTCAAACGAGTTCCTGAAGCAACATGATCGGACTATGAAACAGGGTTTTATAGGGTGAAAATTAGTTTTTCCCATTTTTACCCTCAAAACATGAAAATGCAATTTCTTTCCAAACTATTTCGTAGAGATTAAAAAAAAACTGATAGTTTAGTCCGTACATTGGGAAAGCGTTGTGTGCATAACGATTACAGAGAAGAAAAAAAACTGTTGATATTCCTATGTTATTCCAGTTGAGAATCAATTGAACAGTAGTTGTAGTTTGCTTGTTTATGAATATATTTTGATCAAATTTATTGTTTTCATACTTAACTATAAACATTAGGCCTACACTAAAAACACACTTTACTACTTTCCCTTTTGAGACAAAAAGTACTCATTAAACCTAATAGTGTTTAAAAAGAGAATTAATCTGACATTGTAAGGATAAATTTTATTCAAGAAAATCCCATCACGGCAAAATTGAAATTTGCTTAGTAAGAAGGTTTGCTGCTGCAGGGGTATCTTATATGGCAGTCATTCAGTAGTGTTGAGATTCTCTTCTGTAACTCCTAACCCTTACAGTACCGGTACAACATCAGTTCAGTTTTAAAACTTAACACCTTAGCTGCAGGCCACTCACCGGTGAGTGCTCTAGTTCCTTTCTGCCACGCTGAACGCTCGCAGGTGAGTGCCGGCATCGCCTACATACACCGGGAAGAACGTGTATTTTTAAGTCTGTGATTAGGTAGGAATGGGTGCTTTATTGTGGTGTAGGTTAGTAGTAAATTTCCCTGTAAAATCCCCTTCTGGTAAGTTTAGAAATAAACTTGTCCCGTCTTTCTCCCTCCAATTGGCAATACAATGAGACAGGCTAGTTCCAGACAGTGCTGCTATCACTGTGAGTGTTTCAGAAAACTACGTTGACTCTCTTCGTAACACAGCACATCACTGCACGTCATTTGCTATTCGTCAGACCAAAATATTTGATAGCCAAACGGGTTAGCTCAACACTGCGCCGGACCGGGGCTAGGCCTGCCATTTGGTGGGCCGCAGTGAACGTGTTAATAGGTTTAATTCTTACACGGATTTTAAAGTCAGCAAGGTGAATTATTACTATTACATTTGTGTAGCCTAAAAAAATATCAATGAAATTGTTAAAAGTGGGCAACAAAGAATGGATTTAACCTAATTCCCTGACAAAACTAAGCCAATCACCATTGGTCATGAACGCCAACAGACGTCACCCAGACAGTTTAAGTTACAGTAGGCCTATTGTCAACAATATTGGATTGTCATAGTCTATCAAGACAAAGTCATAAGTAATCGTTTGACCATAAATAACAATCTAGACTGGACTGACAATGTGGTTAAAACCATTAAAAGGGTGTTTGTCGCTGTTCATATTCGACTGAAGATAAAAAATACTATTATAAGTTCACGATAAACTTTTAGGCCTACTGATCAAATCTATAGTAACTGCCCATTCCAATTACAGTAACACTGGGTAGTTAATAATGTGACCGTTGCTTTGGTAACAAAATTGCAGCAAGCCCAAAATTACTGCAGGCCTATTTTATTTGTAAGGTCTTTATCGAAAGATGATCATGTCACGACGGAGGCTGTAGGCTGCCTTCAGTTGTGTACATTTGTTTTAAAAAAGCTTTAATTAGCCTCATGATGAGATTTTAATCTCAACATCGGTCGCCATAGACAAAAGGTCACTGACAGACGGATAAATTAAACCAGGGGTCTCCAACTTTTTTACTCAAGGGCCACATTGACAATTTTTGGAGGAAAGGGCTGGACCGTCAACATTTCAGTGTAGAAGGGGAGCCCTTCTCAAAATAACCCTCAAAGAGTTTTCTAATTAAGAGCTCATTGATGAAGTTTGTACATTTCTTGCTGATTTTTTGTTGCTATTTAACCTTTTAACTAAAATTCTGTAAGCTTTTGCAAATGATACTGTGATCAAACAAAATAACTGACCTACCCAACATAATTTTTTTAGGGAATATAAACGATGTTCCTCATATACTTTGTCATAAATAAATCATGATTACTGGATATCATCACAGAAATTTTGGTGATACCACAAGAGATGTTCACAGTGCAGTTGCGATTGCAGGAGACGATCGCGGTATCGCCGAGACTGCAAAAATGGTTGTGAGTGTTGCCGCGATCGCGAATGACAAGCGTGTTATCTCTGGGGCCGCAATATTTACTTACGGATGTTGCCGCAATAACAAATGCTGATTTATGTCATTACCGAGACTGCAACATTTACTTAAGGGTGTTGCCGCTACCGTGAGTGACGACCACGATATCGCCGAGTTGTCGCGATCGTGACTGACGATCACGATATCACCGAGTTGCCGCGAACGTGACGTACTATCACGCTTTCGCCGAGATGGGTGTTGCCACCACTTTGACAATCATCGATTTGGCCTATAACATACCAATTAAGTTATATAAAAATAATTATTTACCCGTAAGCCCTCCGAATAAAATCTATTCTCTTGCCGCATCTGGCCCGCGGGCCGTAGGTTGGAGACCCCTGAATTAAACCATTAAGCACCATGCCTTTAAAATCATTCAACATCAGAAAACAACAAAGGCCTATAAATCACTCATCCCACAATCAATCTCAGAATTCCAAATTATATCACACACAACTTGGTTTTTTTCACTAAAAAGTTGAAAGATAAAGACAGTCTTTATGAAAGATTTCATAAAGCTCTCTGGCTCATTCACTCTCAAAATTCCTCAGCAACGATACAAACTGTTAACTGTAGGCTATATAACTTGTGATAGGCTACACCAATTTAGTAAAAGCGCTCTTATACCGACTTTGGAACTCCCTAATTCACACTAACTAAGCTATTGTCTGAAATCCCGTTTCAGACTGATGGCAGCCAGACGAAACAAAAAGCCTGCAACGTCCATGTGATTACGGCGATGACTGACACTTGCGGCGAAAACGAAGTTGCAGTAATTACAGCATTTGACCCTTCAAGGGTTAAATCTGCCTATTTTTAATTACCTAGCCTACATATTTTGTCTGATGACTTTATGTTTTTGATGTTAAGTTAGGGCCTAATATGATTTTGCTGGGTATTTTTGTTGTACTGTAGCCTAAGTACAAACCTTGTTTTTGTCAATCCTGATGGGAATTGTTTGGAATAACCCCTTAACTTAAATAACAATCTTGATGCTTAAGTATTTTCAGGGAAACAAAAGAAAGTTGAATTCTAACGTAGCCTATAGGATATGTTAGCCTATTAATACAGTTAACACGTTCGCTGCTGACCGCTCGATGCCAGGACGGCGCCAGGAGCTGAACTGACGCTCGGCCGCTGCGTGACATTGCCGCCGATACACTGAATTACAGTAAAAACAACAGTACCGGTAGTTGTACTGGTTGGAAAAGTTCTGCAGTAAAACTGGCTTTGGACATAGTACTAAGTGATTCTGATAGATAGCAGCACTACCCAGGTTACAGTAGGTAAAGTAGTGTTGCTATCTAGCAGGAAAGAGATGAAACAAAGCCCTGTTCCAAACGACCCTGGTGGTAATTTAGGGAAACTATATTTTTTATTGTCAGAAGAGTAGGTCCCTACGTCCCCACGAGCTGCAAAGAAATATAGGACGCTTGTGACGAGCTGGCTTATCCATGGCAACATTAAACAACAATGAACGGTGACGTTCCCAGCTCCTGGCGCCGTGGCCCGGCTGACATTCCGAAACGTCCGTAGCAGCGAACGTGTTTACTTATATTTAAACTTAGGCTAATTCTCATGTTAATGAGTTATTGATTTTTCTAATTTGATGTAGGCCTATATGACACTAACATCAGGAGCCGCTGTAGAACTGATTTGCTTTGGAATTGGCAGTCATCACTCTTTATAGGTTAGGATAACTAGGGTGAACTAAGTTAATGATTGGATTTGGATACTCCGGTAAAGCATGTTTGTAAGATTAAATATAGCGTTTTACAAGAAGAACAGCTTGAGTTATTAAATAATAAGGCCAAGTAGGCCACCTTAACTTAATAGATTGTTATTGAATTCATATCCCAATCTGATATTACCTTGAATCGTGGTACTGGAAGATCTAGAGGTTCTAATCTTGTCCATATCCTAGTGAGATGCGATCTTGGGTCTCTAACTTGTACAGGAGGGCAGGTCGGATCATTCGGTACAACTCCATCATATCGATAAACCTTCGCAGCACCCTTGACCAAAAATGGGTCTGACAACATCTTGTAGTTCCTCGGCTTACTATGATGATGATGGTGAGACGTAGTAGAGGATGACGAGGACGAGGATGAATGGTGTTCACGATGATGATGGTGATGATGGTGACTACCATGACCATGGTGACTATGGCTTCTGTGTTTGCTGTGATGATGATGGTGCTGATGTTGATGGTCCATCGTTGTTCCATTCATGACTGGAATCAGATAAGTCAATCTTAATTAAAATCGTAAATTATCAAGTCGGTTACAGATTACAGTTTATTTATTGATTTCTTTTTATATAAAAGTAAAGTAGGACCTAACGAAAAGCTTAGTGATTCCAACAACACATCGAACAGGTTATGTTGCTGTTTTGTTTTACTATGTTGAGGATTATCGCTGAAGAGTCTACCCAATATGATGACTAATTTTAAAAAGCAATTGAAAAACGCATCATTCCGATGGTGCGTTCCCTGCTAATTACCTGTTTAACTAATCCTAAACTATATACATTTGGTGGTCTTCTTGGCTCCATTATTTGTTTCTGTTTCCATGACGGGAGCCTAGATAACTACGTCGATAGAATGATGTCATAAAACTGAGTAAATCATTTTTAAACACCTTAAAAAGTTTAATTTAAATATTGTTTTAAAATAAACAATTTTTATTAATATTGTTTATCGCTAACACTTGCAAAATATTAAAGATTAAAAATTTAAAGTGAAATATAATTTCTTGTTGTGATTTTGTTTTGACCTCTCAGTAGAGATCATATGTTGGTATAAAACGAATATTTCTATTGGTTTCCTTTGTTCGAAAAAAAATAATGCATCCAATCAAGTGACCTGTTAGTATTGCATGTCGACTTTTTTCTTCTAACTTATTTTCTACATCGGTCACTCGAAATTGCTTCTGCTAGCTAAACTGGTGTTAGGTGTTGTCTGTTATCCAAATTAGAAAACCAACACTGATAAAATTGTAAGTAGGTTAAACGGTTAAACTTAGTTCCCTGGTGATACTTTTTAATGCTATTTGTTTTAAAGTGTTATATTTAATTCCAACTTAACTTACGTCATTTTACAGATTAACACTATGTCACTGCTGAGAAGATTTTTCCCTACTGTTCGAGCCCAAGAGGACGAAGAACTAGTCGATCCTCAAGTTGTTATAAGGGTAAATTAATTTCTGTATAGTTATATCATAATAAAATATTTTTATAAATAAGTTAAGTTTTGTACAAGTGGACTCATGCTAAATATGTTATTGTTTAGTATTTAGTATACTGGTATCTTTAGGGTAATGGTAAGTTAATAGGCAGAATAGGTTTAACCTATGAAGCTTAAGTTATATTAGGATTTGCATTTAAATACAATCTGGGAAGTTATTGATTTAGTTTAGGGTGTCCGGTGTCCAAACGAATTTTTAGAGTAATAATTTTGTTATCATTATTTGGCCCATTTGAACACTTTTCCTTTGGCACTTTTGAGGATGAAACGCCCATTTCGCCCTGAAAATTAACTACCTAACAGGAAAAAAAAAATTTTGGAGCTTATGCATAGGGCCTAACTAATGTTCTTAACCCTCTTAACGCCAGTTATTTCCTAACCCTCCGAATGTTAAGTGTTTCTAAAGCGACGCATAACACTGCTGTGATGTAAAGTGGCTGATTAAACGTCACAAAGCAGGTCTTTTTTTACCTGATTTATAGTCTACTGTCACATTTCTTTTGGGCTATGAGGAGAGCAGTATAGACAGTGTCCAAATAATTGTAGGCACATTAATGAAAGGGAGGTAAGTTTAACTTAAATCATTTTTTTATTTTTGGTAAATGTTCTTCAGATGTTGCTTTCTCCTTGAAACCATTCCATCCTAGCACTGGGATCTCACTAGAGTGTGCATTTAATAACCACAGAATATCTTTGCAAATGACAAAATAACGTTGATAGCAATTAAGGATAGAATGTCAAGATCTTTGATATGTCCACAGTTTTTAAACCAGCATCTGGATTCTTAAAACAAATTCTTGGAGTTATGTTGACTCAGCACATACTTACCAATTGTAGTGCCGTCAGCTTCCCTAAACATTTCACGTCCACCTCTTCTCCAGCCTTCACGTCCACCAACAGCTATAACTTAATTACAGCGTTCTAAAGTTAGAAATTTGGCAAAATATTAAAAACAGATGATTTTTTATTGTAAAATAAAATTGAATATTTTCGTATACATATGTTTAAGTCCTAGAAATAAAATATTAAGTAAACATATAACGCCAAAAACTGAGATATAGGCGAAACAGGTCTAAACATTTCATGAAACCAAGAGGTTGCTTGAGATGTACTGGTGGACCAATAACTCCTTATCATTGGTTTTCTAATAATTCCCATGATAAAAATCACTGCCTGTAAAAAGCCTTTCATTTCAGCCAGATTTACTAGCTTCCATTTGCGAGCGCTTGAGTGAGGTGACATATAAATATTATATACAAATAATATATAGGGCCTATACAAGCAAAATTATATAGGTACTGATTTGTTCTCAACACAAATGTGTTCAGCAGGCCTACGGTAAAAAATAAATTAGAAATATTCAATAGGCTTGGCATCTGAATTTAGCACATGTTTTGTTCCGGGAATCTTATGGTAGGTGAAATTGTGATGGTAACCAGGATCATTACCATCATCAACTTAAGTCCATTACTATCAAGTTTTCAGTAAGCGCGGGCTCTTGAGGATTCTCATTTGGAGGAATTTCATTTACCATAACTTGGTTGGCTATGTTAGGGTCAAATAGGCCTTGAATAACATTATTTATAATAATATATCAGCATTGTTTTCGTTGGGGGCGTAGTTTTACAAGACCCAACAGATAGAAGCATTAAACAAAACTGCTAGCAGGCCCTCACTATTTCCTAAAATTGAAGGAAAAAGCAGGGGCAAAAATCCTGAATATACCATAAACAAATTTCACAAAAAAGGCCTTAAGCACAATTTTGAGGTTAAGTTCTTTCCACAATGCTTCACTACAACAATGATTATTATTATTCTATTCCATTTCACCAAGTCCAAAAAAACCCACATTTTACTCTAAATTTGATACATTCCCCTCCATTGATAAAATAGTCAGATCTGAAAACGAATCATACTGGATTTAAGTATAAAACTAGCACAATAAGCGGCAATCGGATGCAACGTTCCCTGTGCGTGAGTGAGCTCACACTGAAGCAAGATTGTTGGCATGGGAGGAGGGCGACATTTCCTGCCGCGTCCCAGCTGTGCTGGTACTGCGGGGCGAGAATTCCCACATTACACGTTTTTTAACGTATTAAGAAGAATTTCCCCTCTGCCAATTTTTGGCTGATGCAGTTTTCACCTTGATACAGTCAGGTTTCAAAAAAAAATTGTAAAGTGCCGAAAATGACAGATTTTTGGTTAAACCAAGACAAAATTTGTTTCCAAAATGGTTATTTATATTAAAGTACCAGTATATTAAATAAACTAACTAGGCTGGTGAAGGTTCCAAAGGTTTTAAGTGTGAATTACGACAGCCTTCTGACATCTAAAGTGCCAGAGGAAACCACTTTAGTTGAGTACGCACATTAATAGTATTAATGATGCAGTCCTCATTTCTGCACACAACGTTGAGCTGACCCAACTGAAGCTTAACCATGTCATGCATGTTGAAACCATCGTTCCGTTACAAGCGGGGAACATAGTTGTCCAAACCACACGAACCGCCAAGTACCTGGCAGTAAAGTAACCAAGGCCGAAACGAACCATCCATCCACTTCTGGTTCACATCAATCTCAAAGGCTTTATGGCAAACACGTTGTTAAAACCATAAAACATCGTAAACAGGCCTAAGGCCACTACAACCAACACGCCATGCGTGCCGGCCGGGACGTGCTCAACTAGCACAACTAATCTTAGTAGTCACTGACTACTACTAATAAATTCGTATGATGAGATTAAATTGTTTTGGGCTTACTAAAAATGGATTAAAAATACACTGGCCTCGTAATATTTAATCGTTACGTTATGGGTTGGGTTTAACACACCATCATGATCAAGTCAACGTAGCCTAAGTCCATTGGTTTAACAGGAGTGAAAATATAAAATCTAGTAAAACCGATTTTAAAAACTAGTATTTTACACCCTGGCAATAGTTAACTCGGTTTACCTTAAATCTAATGGAATATAAGACTTACAATTTTACTCGAAGTATCACGCGAGCTAACTATTACTTCACCAATGAACTATTACGACGATCTCGGTACTCTACTTTAGTACGTAAGAGCTCTCGAGTGTTCGTAGTCGTGGCTGGTGAGGAACTCTCCTGTCTCGTGGCTGGTGAGGAACTCTCCTATCTCGTGGCTGGTGAGGAACTCTCCTAACTCGTGGCTGGTGAGGAACTCTCCTATCTCGTGGCTGGTGAGGAACTCTCCTAACTCGTGGCTGGTGAGGAACTCTCCTAACTCATGGCTGGTGAGGAACTAACTTTCTTGCTTGCCGTCTGAGGGTTCCTCGGTTCATCCCTCTCGCTCCCCTCTCTAGCAAAGTAGGGGGCTCAGCTGATCCGGAACGTTTGCTTGCTGTTTGCTAACCCGAAAAAGAGCTAGCCGGCTGCCGTCGTCTGCAGCCGCTAAATCGTCAGTCGCTCGAGCTTGTTGTTGTCGTCGTCGTCGACTGTAGGTTATGTTGTGTTTGTTTCACACGACAATGAGTTTTAACTTCAAGTTGTCGGTTTATATTATTCACTCCGCATTTCCTCACGTCTTTGTGACGGATTATTGGCCTAAGGCCATGATCTGCGGGTTTACTAAGTGTAGAAAGTTTCTTCGAAGTACCAAGCCGGGTTGAGCCCTAGCTTGCGAAACACATCGCTGGTGAGTCAATAAGCTATAAAACACTGTATAAGGTTTATGCCACGCTCATACAGTACTAATAACTCTCGTTCTACACTTATTTAATACCAAACACAACAGTGTATCATGCCTATACTTTACTGAAGATGTTATAACTAAGGTTAGCCTTCTAACCTATAACCTTAGTTAGGGCTGGTAGGCTATGCCTAGGGATAGGCTAGACATAGGAATAGGCTAGTTTGACCCCCCCTCAAAATAGGCACGTTACAGTTTAATGAATAAACTATCTATATTCAACTGAAAAAAAAATATATTTTATGAAAGAAACAAAACAAAAAAAAAAAATTTAAAACTTAATAGGCTAATATAATTACTGCACACGGCTTGAAAATTTTTAGTTTCTCATTTTAAATTGTACAAATTTAAATTAAAACTAAGGATAAAATAAACAAACATCTTTATAAATGTTTTGTAATTGTTGCTATTTATATAATATGGTAATATTAAATTCAATGTTATATTTATTATATTTATTTATTATATTATGTTATATTTATTTATATTTATCCATATTTATAGTTATATGGATAAGAGAGAAAAAGTAATTGGCATTTTTCTTGATTTAACAAGGGCATTTGATAGTGTATCGCATGAAAATCTTATCGACACTTTATCAAAATTAGGTATTCATGACAAAGAATTAAATTGGTTTAAATCCTACCTATTTCTTAGGCAACAATATGTTGAGATAGAACATTATAAATCAGATTTCTCAAGTAAATATAATTACATCCAAAAGTTTAATTCACAGATGCAGATGGTCCGCCATGGAGTTCCGCAGGGGTCGGTGTTGGGGCCCCTCTTGTTCCTAATATACTTGAGGGGTCTGCCGGACTTGATGCCTGTGGGCGGGGCGGCCTGTTTGTATGCTGATGATACTAATATTACCATTTGTGGAAATTCAAAAGAAAGTATTGAGGCATCATCATTGGCCAGTCTCTCCATCATAAAAAAATTCTTAGATAGCAAAAACCTTCTTTTAAACCCTGAAAAATCTAATTTTGTATCATTTTCTACAAAACAAAACAAAAACAAATTAAATCCAGACATAATCTTAGAAGATTATAAATTACAACAGGTAGAACATACAAAATTTCTTGGTTTAATAATTGATAAAAATCTAGCCTGGGACAAACATGTTGATCATGTTATCAAAAAAATGTCTTCAGGAGTATCTGCTTTAAGACAAATGTATAAAGTTTGCAGCTTAAAAACATTAATATCAATATATTATGCCTTAGTTCATTCTAATTTAGCTTATGGAATCAGTATATATGGAGCAACTACATCAAAAAACTTAAAACGGATTTTATCGTACCAGAAAAGGGCAATTAGGGCAATGTTTAATTTGAAAAGGAAAGATTCGGTAAAACATATTTTTACCGATCTTGGAATACTAACTGTTCATGGACTATATATCTTGGAAACTATTATTTATGCAAAAAATATTACAAAAACTCAGGTATCAAACAAAATTAGTCATAATTATAACACTCGTTCTCAATCTCACATTGATAGACACAATCTAGAATTTTATAAAAAGAAAACAAAATTCGCAGGAAATAAATTTATGTCCCATCTTCCAAAAATACTTCTAAATGAAAATGATACAAAAAAGTTTAAAAATTGTCTGAAACAGTATTTGATTAAAATTTCCCCTTATTCTCTTGAAGAGTTTTGGGAGAACAAATAAAATAAATATTCTGTCTTATTTTTAGTTCTTAAATGTAAAACATTTTATTTTGTAATATCTGACTCTATTCCTGTACAATTGTACTTACATGAATAAAGGATATTTTGATTTGATTTGATTTATTTGTATCAAACCGAATCATTATTGATATATTTATATTAATCCAATATTATATCGCAGGTTCTCTGCGACTTTGTTTCTCTTTATTTTAACTAATTTAAGCCATTTTGAGCACTTAGGTAAGGTTAGTTGTACAGATTATTATTTCAGATTTTCAGCACTTGTTTTTATTATAGACGTTTTACCCAAAATTATTGCCAGGGAAAAAATGTTCAAAATGGGCCAAATGATGAAGTAAATTGTTTTTTTTTTCTTCCAGCCATGTAGTTTTGGTACAAAGTTACTAACTATGAATCACTTAGTTAGTGACTTCCCTATTTATGCTTCTTCATGGAATATTCTGCATGGACTGAGTTAGGTCAGATTGCAATAACTTTACGCCTTTATTTATTTATTACCAACGGTCCAAACGAACCAATTCACAATTATGACATAATCACAATTCATTAATCAAGATGACTACAACCAAGGGTCAAGCCAAACATGCAACTGGACTTTCACTGGCCTTGGATGTAGAATTGTGACATATCTTTTCCTTTTGTACTGATTGTAGATGATACAGTATTCCTATAGTTGAATTTCAAATATTTATACTTATTTCTGGTGGCTAGTTGAATCAGCATACACACTCCTGCTAATTTTTTATAGGCCTGGCCTACACAATAACTTAACCACGACTCAATGTATTTCTGCCTTTCTGCAGGGGTTCTTTTTAATTGAATACGATTTTATTTTGGTTTAGAGATGCAAATCAAATTAAATAAACTTTATTTTGTCTAGAAATGTCTGCATAATATCCAGGCCCGGACTGGGTAGCTCAGTGGTTATAGTGCTCGCAAGTAATCGAAATGTCGCCGTTTCGATCCTGAGATAAGTGTGAAGCTTTTTGATAGTTTGAAACTGGACCCAGCTGTCCTTGATCATTTGGCTTTTAATACAAATGGTCCTGACTAATGAAACATCTGGTCTTAGTCTGTAACAAAGCTTCACACTCCAGTCTACACTCATCCTTCAGTCATATTTGGGTTAAAATACGCACATAGGTGGCGCCCCCATCTCATATGAATATGAATATCCTGCTGGTTGTATCGTAAACTCTAGGAATACGTGTTATAAACTCTAACACACACACACACACCTAGACTAGTAATGCGTGTTCAGTGATTTGTTAGTAAATATGTGTAAAATAAGACAACCTTTATATGAAGTGATGTTCCCGTTGTAGTGATGCCTGAAAATGGTTCCTTATGAACTGAGCTACCACTGCAACCATATAGGATTACTAATAATAATGTATTCAAACCACTTAAAGTATAACTCGATAATTCGGAGGCTACACACTTTGCAAAAATATAATTTTTAGTATTCTTACCTTATCACAAATAAATCAACCTCTGTTAACAAAATCCAGCACCATAAATTAAAACACATATGCATTAAATGCTACCACATAATAAACAGTGTGGTTTCTATGTCAACATCAGTGAAACCTGTATTTATCTTGATGTCCTAATTAAAGAGGATATTTTTCATTTGTACCTAACTGTTGCTTGAAAATCTGTTTTATCATGAAATTGGTCTAATTTTGAGTTGTGTTGATTAACCTTTTCGTTCTAAAACAGTATTACAAATTAAACTCAATAAAATCACTGTAAAAGGCTGTTTTTTTACAAACATAGCACATCCTCTAGAGACATTAAGAGGTCTCACCTGATAGTCCGGATATTTCATTAATCCAAATTCTGACCATTTTAAATTATTGGAAGTCCATTGTAACTAGGTAATGTGTGTCACGACTGGATGGATGTTGCGTCTAGACTGCCGGTCAACGTGGTCGATCGGTGCTGTGACGTCACTTCTCTGTTGTTGACACATCATCCCTATACCGTTCTTACCATTTTTTAGTCTTTCACTTGTTATAAATAAATGTACCTTTTTGATGTATCTATGTTCATGTTTGTGTATATTAAAATGTACAATGTGTGTATCGATGACCTTCTGATGACTTTGTGAAGTCAAAACTAGTTGCGTATTGCAACAATTTGGATTACTAAGAAGCAGCTGTATTTACACCAACATAAATTAGTTTTTACCAAATACACTTATTTTATGATTTATTTAAAACTTGTCCATACTTTCAGGAAAATTGTAATGAAGCTGACAAGCACACTAAAGAACTGAGAATCAGGCTGGAGGAATGCAACAATAGAGTCAACAGCAAATCACAAACAGCGGAGACCTGCACAGAAGAACTTTTTGACTATCTTCATGCTCTAGATCACTGTGTCACCAACAAGTTGTTTTCTCAGCTCAAGTGAAATGTAGACAATTTATAATAGAACAACTCGTGTATAGTAATTTAGAACTATTTCGCAATCTTATTTTTTTTTTTCGATCATGCCGAATATTATTTAATTTTATTGTCATATGGAAACTGCCAAATATGTAAAAATAAATTGTTTATGTTACAAAAATCTGAGATTTATCTTAAAATTAGAAACCTTTAGGTTTGTCTATAGTGGGGATTTAGCAGCTATACAAGTACCGGTAAACAAATAGTTTGGTTTGGTATTTATTTATTTATGGACGAAAAACTCCATTTTCATATACATACAATGATGGCAAAACGTTACATTCAGGATTACATAATACATGTCATACATAACATGAATATGACCAGACTAAAAATAACCTAATAAATAAGAATGTATCAAAAATATATCAATATATAACAACAATATTTAACAATAAAACATGGGGAACAACAAATTTGGTAAATAGCCAACAAAGATAAAGAATAAATAAAACAAGTAACAGTAAAATAAATCACTTAAACAACAACTACAATGATAAAGAAACAAAAAAAAGTAACAGTATAATAATCTCAACAGCAGCTAAGTATAGAAACTCTTCAGCCCATTTCTAAAGACTTCATCAGACTCAGATTAAGATTCTCTTTATCAGATTCAGTATTGAATTTGATTTTAAGGTCAGCCCTTATCAATCCACGATTTTGGCCCTGAATCTTCCAGATTAAATGAAATTATCTTAACATGAAAAAAAAAACCCTACCACAGGGAACATGCAGACCATGGAAGTTGTCAGCTTTATTTTCTTATACCATGGGATGGAGCATTGCTCGGTGGTATTTAATTAATTTAGGAGGTTAAAAATATAAAGCATACATATTACTTTTTCCAGCAGATTTAGTTTTTCATTGTAACCAATGACATTATAAAGTACTGTCTGAAATATTTAATAATGACAAAATGTTATCATAAAGGTTAGTTTTGTTTAAGGAAAGGCTCTAGGCCAGGATTTTAAATGGTAGAAAAAGGAGGATAGCAGCTAGCTTACCTTGAAAGTGTGGGTAGGCCATAGAACAAGTAGAAAAATATTTTTCTACTTGTTCTATGGCCTACCCACACTTTCAAGGTAAGCTAGCTGCTATCCTCCTTTTTCTACCATTTAAAATGTTATCATACTCAAGTATTGGTGCTATGTAGGCTTACAACATTTATTCACAAATTTCTCGTCTAAAGTAAAAGCCATTGTAAATTAACTTCCATTACTTTCACTGTAAAAATTTAATATCAGAATTTAAAACAGCATACCAATAGAAATATTGTGCGAAATGACTGTCTCATATGTTTCTAGTTTATCTCTACATCCGAGGCAATGTGTTGTTTGTTGTTTCTGAACATTTGATTTTTTCCAAGATGAGTTGTTTGCCCAACGCTCAACCCCCATATGACTTAGTAATAGTAGTAGTAATGTACCCATGACCGGTTATGGGTTGTCTGACATTGGCCTACCAGTACCAAGTACCACATCAGCCGAAGAAAACCCCTCGCTTACCCTTTTGTTTCCACAACCACGGGATTGGCAATACACTGTTTCCACTAATTAACAGTAGTTAGTGGAACGTGGAACCCTGTTGGTAAGTTATCAACAGGGTAATACCTGAAAACCATCCTGAAGGGAAGATCAAGAGCTAGATGGTGGTATCAGGTCCAGCAAGATATGAGGCTCTTGGGAATTAAAGAAGAAGATGCTGAGAACAGAGACAGATGGGGCGCTGTATTGCTGAGGCCAAGTACCAACTGGGGTACAAATTGTCATGGCTGTAAGTAGTAGTATGTATATTTCTACCTGCCAATAAGTAGTGTTAAAACAATAAGTTATTTAAAAGTAAAACTTAAATATAAATCTGAAACTATTATTAATTACTCATGACCAGTGATTCCTGATAGGAAGTGTTCTATCTAATAATATATGTCCCTATTGGCACTAGTACCTGTAAAATCACTCAGCTATATTAGTGAAAACATAATTTCCTTGTGATATTTAATGTTGTTTAACTTTGCTATGTTTTGATGTAAAGAATAAAATTTAATTAGTTTAATTTAGTTTTGTAGCACTTTAATACATTTATTTTGAGGAGACATAAGACCATATCTTCTGACTTATATCTCGTACCAGTCTACCATGCGGTATTCCACCATTTTAAGTGATATTATTGAACAGCCTGATAAGTCTGACGTGCCAACATTCTACAGCCAATATATCCATTAATGTGCCATATTCTTCATTAAAATTCCAAGATCATCATCATTCCTATAACACCCCAGCAATATGTTCATACATATGTCCTTATTGTATGATGGGAGGAATAAAAAGCACACAGTTTCTTTATCCTGGGTGTTAAAGTGATCTACACTCTCCCTCTGAACTTCTGACACCTGGCATTGAAAAAGGCTGCTATAATTAATTAACATCCAAGTTTAAGTGCGCTGTCAGTTGTAAACGACTGCAAACACGCTGTCAGTTGTGTTGGTCAGTTGTAAACGAGGTGGCTGGCCGACCAAGTGCCAAAGCGCCGTTTCCGGTTGAGGCGTTTGTTGTTAACTCTGACACTGCCGCCCCCCCAGAAACAAAACACATTTGTAACACATTTAATAATTTTTTCTCTTCTGTGGGATCTGAGTTGGCAATGGGTATCACGGCTTCGGGACGTCCGGAGGTGGATGACGCCGACCACGCGGTTGATTCTGTATTTGAGATGGTGCCTGTCAATGAGCCCCAGCTTTCCAATTTAATAAATAGTATCAAGGGAGGTTCAGCTCCAGGCTGGGACGACATTCCAGTCAGAATTATTAAAGAAAATGCAAGCCTACATATTCCAATTCGGCACTTAATAAACACAAGTATACGCACTGGGAACTTTCCTGATATTTTCAAATTAGCTAAGGTTATCCCGATACACAAATCTGGGCAAAAATCTGTTATAAATAACTACAGACCCATTTCATTGTTACCTGTGATAAGTAAAATTCTAGAGAAATGGGTAAAAATTCAGCTCTTAAACTATCTGGAGAGAGAGAATATTATTACAGAAAATCAATACGGCTTCCGAAAAGGATTAAACACATCGGATGCACTCTTTGATCTCACAACATTTATTACCCAAGAAATCAGTAAAAAAAATAAAGTTATGATAACATTCCTGGATCTTGCTAAAGCGTTTGATTCTATCGATAGGAATTTATTACTCAGAAAGCTAAACTTACTAGGTGTCAAAGATACTTCCTTAACTTGGTTTGAAAACTATTTTTACAGTCGAAAACAGTTTGTAGCAATACGTGGAGTCAACGGTGACAACACAGACATTAACTATGGAGTCGTCCAAGGAAGCACGCTTGGCCCTCTTTTATTTTTAATATACATTAACAATATCTCAAATCTGTCAATTAAAGGTAAGGTGTTCCTGTTTGCTGACGATACGGCTCTAGTCTCCTCCGGGCCTAATTGGGACGCCGTATATGACAGGGCGTCCTCCGACTTGGGCAAGCTCAAACTATGGTTTGACCACAACATACTATCCTTAAATGTGTCCAAGACCAAATGTCTGCCCATTTACTTTAGATGCGACAGTGGTCCGGGCCATAGAGTACTCAGGTTGCACGGCTGCGGGGGTCCATGGACAGCGCCATGCCATTGTGAAATCATTGAGCAAGTCGAAAATTACAAATACCTTGGGGTCATAATTGACTACAAACTTAGCTGGGCTCCGCATATTGATTACCTCAACAACAGATTAAGAAAAATGATCTTCGCTTTTTCACAGCTTGGTTGTGTGCTGTCTGTGGACCATTGCAGGTGTGTATACTTTGCGTATGTCCAGTCACTGTTACAGTACGGGATACTTGCGTGGGGGGCTGCGTCTGCCTCTGTCCTGGCTCCTCTTGCTGTTACCCAGAAATCCATAATCAAACACATACTAAAAAAAGACCAAAGATACCCCACCTACCTACTTTTTCAAAATTTTCCAGTCCTTAACATCAGGAAACTATTTCTAAAAACAGTTATAACCTTTTCAAAAAATAACAAAAGCAAAATTTTCTCCGATTCGCTACATTCTTATGACACTAGATCTAGAACACATATAGGCATCTCCGTTCCCAAATTGAACAATAAAGCACAGCTACTTACCCCTCACTATCTAGCCCACATTATACGCACTAATCTCCCCATACAGATAAGAGAATGGGAGGGAGACAGTGTCACGGTTTTCAGCAGAAAGATCGGGCGCTGGCTTCTCGGTCTGAGCGATGATGCTGCCGAAGACCTCATCAGATCCCAGTACAGAACATAATGAAAGTCGATGACGATTCTAAAACTAAATTAGGCTAATAAACCAAACTACTTCAGTACTGGCACCCTCATTCAAGTACTTCAAATATTGTTCATGTTCAGTCTTTTTTTTTTGCCAACAATATGGAAAAAAAAATACTTCTTTTTATTTAAGTAATTATTTGTTTATTTTGTTATCTTGCCTGTGAAGTGGTGAGCGACGGAGAAGACTCTCCCCACACGCAGATGTACAGTCTTTGTGGGGATTTTTTTTCCTTTGTACTTTGCTTTACAGCCACGATTGTAATTTTTGTAATTTGTAATTTTGGAAATAAATATATTCTTATTCTTATTCTTATTCTGTTTAATTGAAAACCCAGCACTTTAAATTCAACAAGTGATAGGATAGGAAACACCTAGCTACTATCTGCCAAAAGTAAAAATAGTACGTTTAAAAAAGTGCACAGTCTAGTGGGACTCCAGTCGGGAACTATTGGCATATAGGTAAATTTCATTGGGCACATGGGCTCAATGCACTAACTAGCAACCAACCCCAATATGACCAGGTGTATTTCCTGCCAGTGGCTCGCTTTCTTAGTGAAGTATAGTATGGTGTTATACACTGACAAGATAATATTCCTTATAACACAAAACTAATGGAAAAGTACAGGGATGGAGTGTTCCAAGGCGGATATTTACAGTATCATTGCATTTCTCGTTTGGAGGAAAACAAATTCATATGCCTGGGGGCATATTCTTTATAAGAAACCCATTTGGTCTGTTAAGCGATTTTTAAAACGGTTTTAATATTTTTTTAATAAAAAATTAATTTAAAACAAATGTATAAATAAATATACAAATGTATCTTCTTTCAACATTATAAGGTTATATATAGTAGGAAGCTCCTGGATATTCCATAGGACATCTCAAGAATAGGATAGTTTTACAAAGAAGGTAACACCGTGATAGTTGAATCGATAACAACAGATAGTACAATCTATAAAAAAAATCTGTGAATTATTGCATAAACTAAAATGAAAATGATGTTTTTGTTAATTGTATATAGAAACAGTTTGTAATTTTGTGAAACATTGTAAAATTGTGGAGTTTGTCCACCTGGTCCACTATTCGGTCTAATCCATGGCAGGATAAATGAAAAGTCCTGAAGATAAAAATTTGGGTCCCAAGGACATTCTATGGTCATCCTACATGAGATCATATGTGACATCCCTATAGGATGTCCGGTAGATCTTTATTTTTATAACCCATTACAACTACAAGTTTAGAGATGTCCCGTGGGTATCCCATATGGGATGTCATCGAAATGAATCGGTACCACGTAAGCCCTTTTGAATGCATCAGGAAAGATACCAGTGTCCATTGAGGCATTAAATATGTCACAGATTGGTGAAGCCAGTAAACACCTGTTGTGTTTCAATACCTTTGGAGGTATGCCATCAGGACCCCAACCTTTAGTGTCATCGAGCTTTTCAAGTTTCTCAAAGATTTCACGTGGGCTAAACCTTAAAGTTTGGGAGTCTCCAAGGTGACCAAAGGTTGACATATCAAATGATTCCGTTGGCTTTGTAACAACTGAAGAAAAGAAATTCTTACAGAGGTTGCACATGTCATCAGCTTCAGTTGCGATGGAACTATTGTAGACAAGACGGGATGGTATTGTGGAAGACTTTTTTAGAGTGAATACGTGACTCCAGAAATAACGGAGATTCCCAGGGATACCGTGCTCAATTGTTCTTAAGTACTTCTGATGTTCGCTGAATGCCAGACTCTTGCACGAAGCCGTAGCATTTGCAAAGGATTGGTAGTTGTAAGCTACCATTAGTCTAATTTGGGATATTTAGTGGAGGAACCTATTTTCCAATCATAGTCCAATACATCCGCCACGCCACATTAAAATGTAAATAGTGTAAATATGCTATTGACAACTCTGAAGAGTTTGACTCAAATACATCAGGGTGTTTATAAAAAAGAATTCCGGGATTTTAAACGGTTTTGTCGTTGCTCGGGGACTATTCAATATAGGTCTAAAATTAAATGATTTAGACGTCAAATTGAAGGGGAAATAAAAATTCTTCTCATACTTCGATACAATTCGGAATAATTTAATAAAATTGATAATATTCATCATCAATCTTAAATGAGTGTAAAACTGGCTAATTCTGTACACTCTTAGGGTGATCGCGGGTTTATCTGATGTCCTAACTGAATCTTTTAGGCACAAAGACTCTATCTTTTAAAGTGCTGATTTAGGTATGTTCAACTGAAGACTTCGTCGGGCAATCGATTTTTTTGGGACTTCTGATGCAGAATTGTCGGATTTCTTCGACTATGTCATAGCTTGTTTTTAGCCAGTCAGGTTAATGTCTTTTCAAAACACTACGGTGTCGCAAAACTCATTTAACCAGCGTCAAATTTGTTTATCATCAAGTAGATTTTAATTTAGCAATCTCTGTGATCCACAGATTACACGTTGTGTCTTCTGTTGCGCCGTAAACATTGCACTGGCGTCAGGCGCGTTAAGTCGCAATAGCGGCCTACCACAGCACACCTGCTTTGCGCATTCCAAGGTCAAAGTTCCATTGGCCCAACGTTGGGAAATGGTCGGCCACGGTTGGGAAATAGTTGGCAGAAATTTTACCGATTTGCCAACGTTGGCCCAACGGAAACTGGTATTCGTTGGCCCTACAAAGGAAAGAATCGTTGGGTTTAAGTATAAAACATTCTAAAACGAATTTAAACAAATTGTTTTATTTAAAAGTACATAAATGTTAAGGCAGCAGAATATAAGACAAATATTGTAAAAGTTTGGATCTATAATAAATGTAGTCAGATGATGTTGTGATACTAGATACAGTGGGGAACACCTGCTTAACATATAATAATAATTCAATTTTTTTTTACAATATTCTTTAACTTATTTAAGCATAAGTTTTTAATAGTTTATAGAGAAAAGATTAATTAATTATATAACAATCAATTATAACAGTAGCCTACTAATCTAATGGTAATTAAATAATCTATATTCAAATACTAGTATCCTCTCCAACTACCAGAAAAACAATTCAACTACTTGAGGCCTAAACAGATTAACAGAATCATATTATACTGTAGCATCAAAAATATTTTAAGTATTAATTGTGACCATTGCACCTGTCGGCTACTCTTTCACCACTTTAAAACACTCGTAATCATCAAGTACAGATAGCTCAGAGGTAAGACGTGAGGCTCACATGTCGAAGATACCGGGTTCGAGACCCGTCTCGGCCGAATATAATTTTATCTCGTTTTATTTTCAAAATAAGATTTTATGAACTATTTAATCAATTTACTCAAACTCATAATTATGCTTTTCATACAAAATCTTTATTATTTTGTGTTTTTTATGTTTATGCCCAATGGGATGGTTGGCCCTTCCGCAAAAATTGGTTGGTTGGCCAACCGTAAGACTGAGTGCCAAAACATACCGTTGGCCAACGATCGACAGAAACGTTGGGCCAACGATTTGCCAACGATTTTTGCTACTTGGGCCCTCCCTTGCTACACGGGAAACAAAACTTTGTTATTTTAGCTTCAATTTGATGTATTAAACGTTTAGTTACATAGAATATAACTCAAGTAGTTCCAAATGCTCTCAAGAACACAAGATCGCTTCATAAGGATGCTTGGACCCAGGCTTGGCTTCAGATATTGGGACACACCAATCCGGGAGCTTGAGGCACAGCTAGAGATTCAACCACTACACATCAGACGTATGATCCTTGATGCAGTCTTCTTATTCAATCTCATCAACTCCCTTATCGACTGCCCCGATCTATTGTCAAATATTGACCTTGCTGTACCTAGAGGGACACGTTCCAGAACCTCCTTCCAGCGTCGCTCCCAGCCGACACTTTTCGCCTACCTCAGCGGTCTGTCCAGATTGCATCGACTAGGGAGTCAAATTGCTACACACATCGACTTCTTCTCTGGATCAACTGCCTCCTTCAGAAGTCGGGTCGGCTCTGTGCTGAGCCAGATTATGTGAAAGTGAATTTACCTTGGTGGTGCCACTAATGGGCCACAAAAAGTGCAAGATTAAACAAGTGTCCTGTTTCTGCTATTGTTACTTTACATTTCTTACTGTTTATTATCTGTTTAGGCTGGTTATTGATGTTTCATATTTTTATTCACTGTTATTCATTATTGTTGTTGTTTTCTATTTATTGTTGGCTGTTATTTCCCATTTTTACCATCTCTGTTTTACACTGCCTCTCTATTCTTAATCTCCTTTCTTGTGACACATTGTGATTTCTTGTTTGTTATATCCTTTTTGTTATCAATTTCTAGTCCTATTCTGCTTGTTATTATTGTTACTCATAAGACTGATTTATTGCCTGTATCATAATGTATTATTATTATTGTATAAATGGTGTTTACCGTTGAAATAAATAAATGAAATGAAATGGAATAGTATCAAAGCAATTACCATTTAAAATCCCAGCATTCTTTTAAAAACACCATAATAAACACCATTTAAAAACACATTCTACTTGTTTATGCATGTTTTATTTTGTAATGAGTCGGATCATTCTATACAATCTGTCTAGTCTCTTGAATGTATTGTTTCATGTATATTTGCTATTCTTGAACTTATTTTTGCAGACCATCTTGTTTTGATATGTATTGTTTAATGGTATTTGCCGTAGAAATGAATAAATGAATGAAATGAAATGAACACCTGTAATATTTTTTATTGACAAGTCGTAAGAGTATTGACACAATCTATCCAACAGTATCAAGGATAAAGTACTGTATTTCAAGTAAGTAAGTAAGTATTTTACACTCTATATCTTGGGAGCCATTTAATCAACGGCTATATGCCAGAGTTAATAATACCACAGACAAGGGAAACACTTTTGTTTCCTTAGTCAATGATAATACTAATACACAGTCAATACTTAGGCCGGTATTACACTATCATAGTTCTATGACATATTATATTATCAAATATATGATAATATGTTCTCTCAAGGAGAACATATTATCATAGTTCAAAACCATTATAATAGTTGGTACATTACACTGTAATAATTTTCATCAAAGACATATGATAATAGATATATGTCATAGAACTATGATAGTGTAATACGGGCCTTAGTACTTGTATCCTCTATGGGAAGTGTAAACTAGTTTCAATTCTGGAGTTCCAAGTTACATAGTTGACTTGACAGTTGTTGACACCAAATGTCAGGAATTGGAACATAAACCGAATTGAATTTAATTCGCAAAAAGGTTATCCCCTTACTTGCGCCTGCCATCGTTTTTCCTTACTTTAGCCTTTACCCACCCTTTACCTCTTCTCAAGGCTGAGTATTGGATATTGGTATTGGAGTATTAGTAGTACTTATTAGTTCTAGTTGTGGAATGTAGTAAGTAGGCTCCAATGTATATTTTCAACTTCGTCCCCATAACAACATTCAGTACCGATTTGTCACTGACAGATATAATCCTATCCTTTTCACTGTTGCTGTCAACAGTGTCAACTTCAGTGCCCTACCTACCTATTCATCTTTCTCGTTATCAGCGTCAATGCCGTCAATAAGATGTTTGCTGATAATACTATGACTAATTATTTTCAAATTCTTACTCAATTCCCCAAGTGTCGGTGTTACTCTATCATCACGTATCACGATTCTGTAGTAAGTGTTTCTTCAAGTGTCAAGGCGAAGGCAGTGGGATTCTTAGACTCAGCCTAGCCTACTGTATGTTTGATCTTAATTTTACTATGATACAAGTAGGCCTACTCAGTTTTCATAATAAAGGTACTTAAATGTATAATCAAAAGTTGAAATGGCACCTATTTTATACACTCTTAGTGGATTTGCGACATTCTTCTTTATATTCTGGTGTGGGAAGTGGTTAGTGCATCTAGCTGCAATAATCTATGGGTAAGTCATAGGCTAATAAATCAAACTAGGCCTAGGCCAGTGTACGGTTATTTAGACTTATTACATCATAGACGAACTAGGCCTAAGTTATTACATACATAACTTAGGCCTGCCTATGTGTTCAATCTTTTTAACAGACAAAATTATTTACTTCTCAGTATTAAGGCACTAAGTTACACATTTGATAAAATCTATACCTGAGGATGTAGGCTACTGGTAAGCCTCAATTCAGTAAGCCAAGCGATATAGGCTAGAGGGTTACATCAGGTGCAGTTTTTTTAACTGGGCTAGACACACCTTACTATCGAATGAAAAATATTGGGGTACAGTTTCTTAACTAATATCGATTGAAACTATCGATTCGATCAGTAAACCTTCATGCAATTTTTTAACCATCAGCAAGTTTGGTTGGTTAGGTTAGGTAAGATAGTTTAATTTGATAATAAATATATTTAAAAATATCGTTTATTAATCAATATTTTCAATTCGATAGTTTCAATCGATATTAGCATAGCCCAGTTAAGAAACTGTGCCCAAATATTGTATTTTTAACAGTTAGTCAATGAATATATAGGCTTAACCTATCAATTATAACATGAAACTTTTATAACCTAACCTAACAAAACTTGCCGTAGGTAGTCAATTATTTTAATTGATGTAAATATAATTGATAATCAACAGACTAAGTTACAGTATTTAATATTTGACAATTTAATATTGGGCATTCGGCATCTACACGTCACGTAAATCATGACTTTAAATGTCACCCGTCTTCCTTGTTTAAATTCATAGTAGGCCTATGTATATTTGAATGGCAATATAGCCTATTCAATAATATTCATTTGGGGTGAAAAATAATGGTACTATAACTTATTTGGATTCAGGGTGTAAAAAAAATATAGGTACCTACTAACTATAACTTGTCTATTGTACTTATATAAAGTTAGATATCAAAATTAAAAATTTGTTTGGAGGTCACCTGTATCGATTAGGAATAATTACTGCAGGCCTTCTATAGTCTAAACAAAATCTATTGAGATTATAGTGGCGTGTTGGTGGCTCATTCGATAACACACGGACTTTGGGTCCAAGGCAACGATGTCGTGGGTTCGGATCTAGTTATCTACAACTACCGGTACTTATTATCAGTGTAGTTCAGCCTCGTTTACAAGTTACTGTAGGTACTGGAACACCCCTTGCTTTGCTAGATACTTTTACACTCACAGGTCTCTGTGGCCCACATGGACGGGCAAATGCAAGATAAAAGAGGCTACCAACCTCTCTGAAAAAAATTCTTAGCCTAACTTACTTTGTGCCAAATTCCCTTTAGCCTGAGTAGGTACAGCGCAAATGAGGTAGTCTAGCATCTTGCTGCAAACTTAAGTCATTTTTGAACTCTTATTTCTAAAGACAAAAAATGTTGTATCTTTAAGATATGATATTATGGGTCATAACAGTAGAGTAGAAGTGACACCAAGTCAGAGTTGCAACTACTGTACAACCATATCAGTCTTGATCCTGGCCATTGACTCTTGATCATTAATTATTATGAATACCTTATAACTTAGCATAATATTTTTAATGTTTTTAGTTTCAAAGCCTCTTTTATTTTCAAAGAAGGTTTCAGAGAAGCGTTTAGCTGAAAAGCAGTACGAACCCATTATCAAGCTTAAATTTGTTCTTCTTCATAGGCTATTGATTTTGCATTCCAACATGCTAAATATAATAACTTATGTTGTTATCCTAGTGGTTAACTTATTTAATATAAATGTTGTATCTAGTTTAATTGTTTATTGATATTTATCTTTTAAAGATTTTGCAACATTAAGCTACAGTAAGCTTGGAATATTACTGTAGGCTAATTAAAAACAACATGATTGGATGTTCAATTTAGCAGAAAGCTCTGGTTTTTCTGTGCCCGAATCTAATGGTGTTTCACAAGTAGTAGGTACCTATGATAGGTAATGTAATTTTCTTTGATAATTCCAGTACCCGATTAATTTTTTAAAAACTGAAGATAACAAAATTACAAACTTAGATTTTTTTAAATAAAAACTATCGATTCATATTCATATTAGGCCTATATTGCATTTTCTTTTTTTTGTTGACAGGAAATACACGCTTTATCGTAAAGTAAACCTTCAACCAACAGAAACCCCACTGCCAGGAGTATCGATAATCAAACCCTTAATGGGCGTTGACCCCAATTTGTATGGAAACCTCGAAACATTTTTCACAATGAATTATCCCTTGGTAAGTATATAATTAATTGTTAAATGATTGATTTTGCTCTATATAGTGAACTGAAATGTTGGATATTTTAGTTTTGAAGTTCTTACCTCAGCATATCTGAGTGTGATGCACTGGAAGTCTTAGCCTATATGACCTCATTGAAAAGAACCCAACTGCCCTAACTTCTTTAGACCCATGTGGATTATTAAAAATTGGTTTTCACTTAGGACTATCATAAAATGAGAATGTATATATTGTTGTCAGGCCAATAATGGGTAAGTCTAAGATATACTAAAATGAAAATTGGCTGAGTTGGGCATGTTGCCCTTAGGTGTAATTGCAGAGGAGCCTAATGTTCACTACACTTAAAATAATTGCTTAACACGTTCGCGGCGGCATGGGAGCAAACGCTCCCATACGGAACCCTAATGCCATCCTGGTGGGTGCGATCGCTCCCAAGCTGCAATGCAATACGAAATGATTTATTTTTAAGCCAGGATTAGAGCTAGAAACTTGAAACCTCGCACAGCACTGCTCAATAGTATACTGTATTTTGTTGTGTTGGTTGGTAGTAAATCTTCCCGTAAATCCCCGTCTGGCAATCTCAAAATTCTACTTTTGTCCCGTCTTTTTCCCTCCATTTAGCAATACAATTCCAATGGGACCGGCTACGTTACAAGCAGTGCTGCTATCTGTTGGTGTTTAGCGAACTACGTCGACTCTCGTTGTAAAGCAGGACATCCTCGCACGTTATTTGCTATTTGTCAGCACGAAATTGTTAAGCCAATCACACGCGGCAATCGGGTTTGTTTGATGCTGAGGGCTGCGCCGGACCTGGGATACGCCCGCCATTTGACGTGCCGCCGCGAACGTGTTAATATGGCCAAATAAACACAAAGTTTGTACAAATTGCATGACTAGCTAAAGTTCATAAATTACCTCAAAGTTGGTTCAAAAATATATACAATGAGGTACTTTCCTTGGGGGGGGGGGGGGTATATATTCACAAATGCTCCCAAGATAGCTCAGGCTACAATGGCTGGGTTTAACCCTTTGCGGTCGAATGGCGAGTATAGGTTGCCGCCCGCCATTTCGCCGACTGCTTGAAAATGACATAAGGTACTATAAGGAAAAAAAATAAATTAAAAAAGTTAATTTAGGTTTGGTTTGGTCCGAATTTGTGAGGGCTGGCTACACTTGTACGGACACATGTGAGCATGGGGCACAAGTACAGCAATACAGAAGGTGTTAAGTCCTAGTGTAGGCATGTATGAACAGTTTTCTTCTTGTTTGAGCTTTAGTTGAGACAAAGAATTCCTCCTTGTTCTTACATCTCTGAATATTTTAAGGCTTGAACAAACTATAAGCATTAATAAAAACTGGAGATATCAGAAAAATAATCTTAAAAAATGTTCAAAGTATGAAACGTCCATAATAAATAGGGTAGAGCTTTCGTTTAAATATATCTTTAAAATGAACAAAGATTTTTAAATTCGGATTTCGGCATTCAAATCAGCGTGAAAATCTAGTTTATAATGATGTGTCACAACACTATCATTACATTAAAAAAAAATTAATGTAAACCATAAAACGTTTTCTTGCAATTTTTTTAAGGTCATATCCTATATTTCTCTGAAATATAGAAGAAAATACGAAGATAGAAGAATTCATATATATAATTCTTAGTATAAGAATTAAAGTTCAAGTACAGAAACCAAACATCTAGTAGCTGGTCTCTACAACTTGCACCAAGCTAAAACTAAATGCCAGTTTTACTATTGATAAATTATTGAACTAATTAGTGGAAGCGTGATTAATGGAATACCTTCCAAAAAATAAATAAATACATCATATAGCTACCGGTATGCTATTCAAGCTAACGATGCCAGAATAACAGACTGTTAAAATACTCAACTAATTATTGTAAAATATTCATAGTGGGCTACTATCTAAAAAAAAAATTTTTTGCAAATTCAACATTGAAAGAGCTACCAATGGCAATACTTGTGAAGCCTCATGATTAAAAAAAGTAGGTAGGGCTACCTACCGTATCTAATCTAGGGAATATTAAACCGCCACGAGTTTTATGACCGTCCTGAGATATTTGAACCGCCACGATCATTAGAGCGGAATTAAGGGTCAGTTTCGCAGGGCTGTAAAACACTTGACCCGCCACACGGGGTCTGCCAGGTAGCGAGGGAACATTTCAAAATATTTATCCCTCCAGTTTTCCACTTTAAGTAACCCAATAAGTATGGAGGACATGGTTTCTATCTATTTTCCTAAATAAATTTAAATCCTGTATTATTTTATTTTTAGCCATGTGTATTAAATAAACTAGGCCTAACCTAATAAGGTTTGTATCCGTGAAATAATATCACTCGTCAATACCAATGCATCTTATATTTGTTGGAAAATAACTTAAATAAAAAAATCATAGTGGTGAAATAACACTTTTGAATAGATACATTTTTGTGAATACTGAATATAAACCTTTTACTGTTAATTAGAATATAAGCTATGCTATTGTTTAAATTTTCTATATTTTAGTCATTCAGTTAAGCAGCTTACTAACCAAATGCTTTGCAGTTAAAGTAAACAATGTTTCTTAATTTCAGTATGAAATCGTTTTCTGCATAGAAGATGAAAATGATCCAGCTATAATGCTTGTTAAAAAACTTATAGAAAAATACCCTTTAGTGGATGCTAGTATATTCATTGGTAAGTATATGGATAATAATGGGCCATATCATTCGTAGAACATTTCTATTAACTTAATTAAATAACTTAATATATATATGCAGTGTAATACATTTAAAGGTTTATCTGAAAAAAAGAATAGCCCCTTAGTAAGGGATGGATGGTTTTAAGAGCCCATCCAGGGATTAAAAAAGAACGTAGTTGTGTGAGCCTACATCAACTACAATGATTTTGATAAAAAATCTGGCTACTAATTTAACATGGCCTGATAAAGTGAAAGTATGGTTGTATTGTATCAAAATGTTCAAGTTTAAGTTTTGGGTGGCAATATCCATTATGTGTCCCTCTGAAACCAAAAAGTGGTTTTTGAATAAAAACCTAACAGGAAAATTGTACTTTCACAAAAACGCCTTGGAAATTTGGATTAAAATGTAGTATGTTTTGATCCAATTAATTCTAAAAAAACTTATACAGACCAATGCTGTAAAAACTAAAAAATAATCATAAAATATCTTAGTTGCTCCCCCTGCTTACCCATTAATAAGGGTTGTTGATAAGGTTATGGGAAAAAGTTTGCTGATACCATTTATTAATATTAGTTAGTATTAGAATTGTATGAACACTGTTCATTGTGCCATGCACATGTAAATATATTAAGATGTATGAATATTGAATATGTAATTTCATTCAGGTGGAGCAGTTGTTGGTGTGAACCCAAAAATCAACAACATGCAGCCTGGGTACTTGGCATCCAAGTACCCTTTGGTGCTCATTTCTGACAGTGGGATCAGAAGTAAGTACATGAAATGCTTAACATCCATCTTATAGGGTGGAAAAAGTATCATCCAAAAATAGTGTGAATTCTAAGACTTTTAAACAGGTTTTCACATGATTTTCTCCTTCTTGATTTGTTTAAGATTCTAATAATTTTTTTCTGGAAAATTAGTAGGGATTTGACTTCTGTTGACCTGGAGCCACAGTATTCCATACCTCAAGATGGATTCAATGTATCCATAGTAAACTGTGATAGCCTACATGTATCCTCGGGTATACAGTTTATCAGGTGAAAGAATGCAAAAGAAGTAGATCTTAGTTTCCATTTCATCTTATCTATGTGAATCTTCCAATTAATATGAGTATCAAGTAATACACCCAAAAATTTATGAAATTCTACTAAATTTGGAATTTTATCAAGAATTACACTGTTTTTTAAAGAAAATTTTATTTTATGAGTTAAAGGAATGCCACATTGACTTGTTATTCCGGTAGCAGAGTAACCAACCAAATACTGAATTAGCTAAATCAGACTATTTCATAGATTAAAAAATACAGTTCGTTAATCTTTGATTTAGTTCATTGGTTTTAATAACATATGGCATGGAGGCTCTCAGGGTGCATTCACCAAACATCAGGATATTTTTGTATACATTGACGGTTGTTAAAAACTCCAAATTTACGGAATACCTGTGTTTCCAACTAATTTGTTCAATCAAAAGTGTTGCTCCATTTTCAATCCTTTTATCCGGCCCCCCAGATCCCTCCACAAACCCTTTGGTATGTTTGTTAAACTTATCAAAATCCAAATTATTTGATGTTTGAATTTTTTTCGGTTTGAACCGTTCAAGCACTGTAATAAGTATTTTCAGTTATCTGTTTACCAGGCTTATCATGCTGTCCAGAGGATCAAGCCTTACTTGTATAGCCAATGCTTATTGTTTTATTATTATTATTATTTGTTTCAGTGAAAGAAGACACATTGTTGGACATGGTCCAGTTGATGAGTGATGATGTTGGATTGGTTCATCAATTACCCTTCACCTGTGACAGGGAAGGATTTGCAGCAACAGTAGAAAAGGTAACCTAACAATCCTCCCTATTTCTGTCCGTTATCATATACTATTGATTTGTGCAAATGGTGATCTAAAGATGGTTAACCACCATTATGGCATTGGTAAGCCATTGATCAGCATAAAAAGTTATCACTGAGCATCTGTGTACTCTGTTCTGTGCATGTAACTGTGTTGGGTAACTTTGTTGTTAATGTGGTAACTTTATTCTTGAAATTTTGCTATAGGAAAATCCAATAGACGTTGCGTCCTATTTCAGTGACGTAAATTGGTTCCAAATTAATATTATAGAAACTTCTTGTACAAAAATTGCATTTATATTCTAATTTTGAGTTAATTTAATTGAAAAACAAATTTATTATCAGTACCGGTATTTAAAATTTTTGTAGAATGAAAACACAATTTGATGGATTGAAAAATATTTCCTACGACTCCTTTTAATCTTTGAAAAATGACTGTTTAGCTCATATTTTCTTTTAACAATCTCCGAATTATAGTCCAGTAAATCTGTCAGAAAATATGGGGTTGCTGTGCAAAAGGTCGGGTAGTTCTGATTTTTGGATATGTTGTTATAGCTCGGCCGCTTAGAAAACGACCTGCGCGCTAATGCTAAACCAATGCTGGAGGAGGTCGTTTTCTAAGTGGCCGAACTATAGTATTGGGCCCATAACATAAAATCCAAGTTATCCACCTCGTGATACTGCCGCTCACCGCGGGGCGCGCCACTTGTTATCGAAATATAAAAAATATGGCAATTCCTATTGTTTTTCACTCAATCTCGTGAACCGTTGATTTTACCGAAAATTGTATAATATTACATTAAAGAAGAATACATTTTTGACAGTTTAAGCCCAACAGCAAGTATGTAGCGTAAATAATAGTCTAAATACAGACCATCAAAATAAATAAATTTTCCAAAAACGTATAAAAATTGTGGTTTTTCAATATTTCCACAATATAGTAGTTGGAAGCAAACACCGTATTGATTTAGAGAGTATGCCAGTTTATTTGCTATTAATAGAAAATAAATGAAAGTATGAATAAAAATACCCCCACCTCAGCAAACCTGCAGACTAAGCGAATTTCCATTTGCTCGATTTGATTTTCACAAACCTAGTTAAACGACATTAGGTTTAACAGGTACCTAGATTTGCTGCTACAGGGAGGGTTATATAGTATATAAAATAATAATAGTATGATAAGAAACAAATAAATGTAACCAGTTTTATAAAAATGTGTCTATAAATAAGGAAAAAACGATAATTAAAATCTTTGCTATTGGAATAACTTGAAATTTTTTAATTTACATTTTTTAATTTTCTCCGTAACCAATAACTGTAAAAAACATTTTCATGTTCTAAATTATTTGTTTTTAAGCTCTACAAAATGGTTTAGAGATAATAATTCAGAATAATATTTTAAGTTAGTTTATAAAATAAAATTGTATGTTTTGAGGGTCAAAAATACGAAAAACCCGTTCTTAACAAAAGACCCTATAAAGCAACCGTTCTCATGGCCTGATCATGCTTCGCGAACTCGTTTTAATAAATGTAGGTTTCTGGTTTACATGCCAAAAAAAGACCTTCAAAATATACCTTTAACGGCAAAACTATTCTTCCCAAAGCTGTCAAATGTTTATACATAAACATTTAAGCTAAGCTTTGGGAACAATACTTTCACATAAAAACAAAATAAAACAGTTTAACATAGTTAACAGTTTATTGAGGTTGAAAGATCAGGCAAATAAGATCTTCCAATTACAATCACTCTACAGATCTTCCATGCAGCGGGTAATTTTTCCACGCCAAATGCGCCCATCTATACAGGACATGCTGATTATGAATTTAAATACAGGATTGATATTGAAGAACACAAACAATTCATAAAGATCGGAAATTTCACTACAAGACGTACAGACAAGTTCTAGTGTGGAATTTGGTCTGATTAGGCCATCGAACAGGCCCTCATAAAGACAATGAAAAGCTCTGGTGGGTTGACTCGAGGACGAGGCAGACAAAATGTTGTGACTTGATGGGCGCTTGGGATGATCCGTCCTCATCAAATCTGTAGGAAGTTGAGAAATATTATAAAAAATGACGTCGGTTGAACATTAACAGTTAGCAACATGTTGACGTGCGCCATTCTCGCATTGCTTGAGACAACGAAATTGATGAAAGATTAAATAGTGGTTTCATCAACACACACCATTCAATATAAATGATATGCTGATTATTAGCAAATTTCCCTTATAGGGAATACGCCATTACAGTAGGTCTCATGGTAAGACCTAGACCCGGGACCGATTTACTTTTTCATTTTGGTATTCCTAGAGGCCAAAAATACTGTTGGTTCTAATTGTTCTAACATATATAAATATATATGTATATAGGCTTATACCTGGTGTCCGAAAAAGACTCCATAGTTTTAAAATTACCTCACGATACTATTGTTCAAATGGATGAGTAATGATCATTTCGTGCTGTGTAGAGTATACTTCAAAGTTTTAGTTTTGTATCATAGTTTTGGTAATAAATTATAATACAAATAATAAAATATTAATGATAAAAATTAGAATAGCTTGCATGTCTGCAGGGCTACAAATGGGTCGCATTTTGAGGTTTGATAGTGTTCAAATAACTTTTATTTTATTACCTTTCATTTAATGTATCAGCATAGCCTTCTCTATGGTATCAGTCGTTGATCAGTAGTTTGTATCTAGTACAATAAATAAATACATTTTCAAACTAGGTAGGGGAGTTTTTTAGAGACCCTGTAAAAAAAAAAAAAAAAACTAGATTTACTAAACTGTATCCAAAAAAGTTATTATCGTCCGTTAGCACGTTGATTCCCAAAAATCATCCGATTTAGTGGAATTTGGTACAAACATTACTTTTATTTGTGAATCAAAAGATGGACTATTTATCATTTACTTTGTATTGTATGTGACTTAGCCTATTGCTTTTGCCTAATAGCCTAAATAAATCATTGAATCATATAAACGTACATTTATTTATTAAAACGAGTTCGCGAAGCATGATCGGCATGATAAGGCCATAGGAACGGTTGCCTTATAGGTATTTCGCCGGTAAGAATATTTTTTATTATTATTAACCCTTAATTATTAATTTTACAATTGTATCATTAAAGAATTTTGTAGAGCTACTAAAAACAAATAATTTAGTACATTAAAATGTTGTTTTACTGTGATTGGTTACGGAGAAAATTAAAAAATGTAAATTAATAAACCTCAAGTTATTCCAATAGCGAAGATTTTTAATTATTGTTTTATCCTTATTCATAGACACATTTTTATAAAATTTGGTAAATTTATTTGTTTCTTATCATACAATTATTATTTTATATACTATATAACCCTCCCTGTAGCAGCAAACCTAGGTACCAGTTAAACCTAATGTTATTTAAATAGGTTTGCGAAAATCAAATCAAGCAAATGGAAATTCACTTAGTCTGCAGGTTTGCTGAGGTGGGGGTATTTTTATTCATACTTTCATTTATTTTCTATTAATAGCAAATAAACTGGCATACTCTCTAAATCAATACGGTGTTTGCTTCAAACAACGGGAATGTTGCTGAAAGTCAACAGTCCCGGAAGATCAAATAATTTATACCTGTGCCGCTAGGTCAAAAACTACAATGTTTGCAGTGTCTGTAGATCAAAAATCACAGTAAGTCAAATAGTACAGTCCGAGCTAAAAACGTGGTCTATGTTAAAGCAATTGACTTATTGGGTTTTTGACCTAATGCAACAGCAGTTTTAATATAACGAAATACGGTAAAATACAAGTTCAGTTTCGCTGAGTCAACAGTGCCGGAAGATCAAAAGTAATAAAAGTGAACGTCGATTCAGTGTAAAGTAGACCTCCTGCAACGCTTACTACACCAACAAAACTCGCTTTTAGTTACTACGTGTTTTGTCATAATTAGAATAAAGCTAAAATTATCATATTTGGTACATAGCTTATCTATTAATGCTTCTTGCCAACTGTTTGGTCAACACTGTAAATAGGTATAGTTTATGTAATGAAAAGCCTTTCGTCAAAATTTGTGGCATAAAATACACGCAAGGACGATCTGAAAATTTCTGGTTATTATATACGTTTGTAAAAGGAGATCCATTTAATTATAGAACTATTTTATGAGTTATAATGTAGTCTACACATAAACTGTGTAAATGTATTACGCCTCGGAAGGGTTGAAACCTGTCCAAACTATCATATATATATTATTAAAACGTAAATGAGGTTTTTCACATTCTGAATCAACCAGTCGACGGATTTTCATTATTTTTATGTTGAAAGAAAGATAATTTTCTGAACTAGGGAATGTCAAAGCCATAATTATAACTAAGGGTCCCAGTTTTTTAGAAATTAAGTTTTAATTTTTAAAAAGTCTAGCAGCCGACGCTTACCTTCTAAGCTAGCTTTTAGTACAAAATAATTTGCTTAACATAACAGCTGTAAACATTCAGCATTTGGAAACAAATTTAAAGACATATTTAGAGTTGACATATTTATACTATGTGTAATGCTGACCATCGATACATTCAATTCTTAGGTATGAGGATGGCAGATTAATTAAATATGCATAGTAAAATTGTAGGATGTTCAAATTATTTTTAAAGGAATCTTTATAATCATTGATTTGTTTTAGTCCCATATAATTTGTTTTAACTAACAGCTGGTTGAATGTAATATTGTTCTATATAACTATTAGGTTTTTGGCGAATATCCCATATAGGGAATAAGCTATTACCGTAGTACTTATGGTAACACCTGGACCCGCGGGACCGATTTAATTTTTCGTTTTGAGGTCCCTAGAGGCCAAAAACACCATCCGTTCAAATTCATATATACAGGGTGATCAACTCAAGGAGTCCACCATTGGGAAATCGGAAACGGTAAGAATTAGAGAAAACGTTAAATGGGGCACATGGCACATACCTTTATTTTTTGTGGCAGTTAAAATATGATTTTAGTTTTTTATCATGTTTTCGGATAGAATATGCAATTTAAAAACTTTGTTAGATTTGACATTTTTTTGATAAACCCACTCGTTTAGGATTACAGCCTATGGAAAAATTACTTCCGGTTTACATTTTACATCATGTAGCTTCTAAACGAGTAAGTTTAGAGCAAAATTGCAAAAAGTAAATCAGTCTTAGAATTGCATCTACGTTCCTTTAAGACTATAAAATAAAAAGTTTTCCACTTTTCAAGTTTGCCGCCATTTTTATAAATAATATTATTCATATTTTTAATGAGTTTTATGGTCTTTTTGGAATGTGGATGCAATTGTAAGACTTTTTTACTCTTCCCATTTTTGCTATGAACTTACTTGTTTAGGAGCTACATGATGTAAAATGTACACCGGAAGTCATTTTTCCATAGGCTATAACTCCTAAACGAGTCGGTTTATCAAAAAAATGTCAATTATAAAAAAGTTTTTAAATTGCATATTCTATCCGAAAACATGATAAAATATAGGGTGTTCCATAAGAAATTTCAAATTTGGCCGCCATTTTGGAAAATGGCGGCTGAATTTCAAAAAACTAAAATCATATTTTTAACTGCCACAAGAAGTAAAGGAATGTCCCCCATTTAAAGTTTTCTCTAATTCTTACCGTATCCGATATCCCAATTACAATTGAAATTGTAATTGGACACTAGTAAGTACTAGTGCACTTGTTGCTACCTCCCCCCTTCGGTTTCATGTATTCCTCTCAATCACTTCAAACCTAGGAGGTTTGAAACACCCCCGAAACTCGCCTGTCGTTATTTTAACATCGCTTAATTTTTTTTACTATATTTTTCAAAAAAGGAAGATTAAATTGATTTACTTTGGATTTTAAAAAGTGGACGTTTTATTTTATTAAAGATTTATGGTGATACGTAAATATTGTGGTATAGTAAAGTATATTATATTGTAGTTAAGTGTTAAATTTTGAAATTTTAGGGTGAATCGAGATGAATCTATTTTTATAACATGGGTCTCTCCTACCTTAACGTACATACCAAGTTTCATAAACATCGGTTGGAAAAGTGTAAAGATAAATATTTGTATGTAAAAAATACAAAATGGCGGATATCTGGTTAACGAAACGATTTTGGAAAAAATGTTATCGTTCAGTTTCTGTTTATTTTGACCCAAGGAATTACTAGGTAAAGTGTCTCTCCGCTTATTTTTAACACCTTGTTTGTGATGTATTCTTATTAATATAAGTAAAAAATGTAAGCTGGTAATACAGAAAGATGTTTTATAAATAATATGAATGTACTGGTAATCTGTATATTCATTTTTTTCTTGTCCTTAGAACCGTAAATTAAAAGTCCACTCAGCAGTCGCATCGTACGATGTAGTTCTTTCCATGCGTTGCGAAATGCTAAATTTGCCGTCCTCTTCAACCCAAGTTATCTATTGAACCACTGATTGTAAAAAATTCAAAAAAATATATTTTACGCATCACACTTTTGGCTACAACTTTGCCACAGACAAAACCTCTCTAACCCAAAAACAAACAAAAATCTCGCATGCTAACTTTTTCATGTTAGAAATCACGATTTAAAACTATTTCACCATACATATCAATTTTTATTAATTAGATCGGTAAATAGTTTAAAGTTCCAACAAAATAGTCATTGAGTAGGACTAACCAAGAAGCTCTGTGCCAATTTTCAAAATTTTAGCACAACTTTAAGTACACCAAAACACGAAATTATTGAAGTCATGCGTCGAGAGGACTATCGTTGTTTTTAACAGATTATACTTTTGACCTTCCGGCACTGTTGACTCAGCGAAACTGAACTTATATTTTATCTTATTTCGTTATATTAAAACTGCTGTTGCATTAGGTCAAATTCCCAATAAGTCAATTGCTTTAACATAGACTACGTTTTTAGCCCGGACTGTACTATTTGACTTACTGGGATTTTTGATCTACAGATACTGCAAACATTGTAGTTTTTGACCTAGTGGCACAGGTATAAATTATTTGACCTTCCGGGACTGTTGACTTTCTGCAACGCGTCCCAAACAACTATATTGTGGAAATATAGAAAAAACCACAATTTTTATACGTTTTTGGAAAATTTATTTATTTTGATGGTCTGTATTTAGACTATTATTTACGCTACATACTTGCTGTTGGGCTTAAACTGTCACAAATTTATTCTTCTTTAATGTAATATTATACAATTTTCGGTAAAATCAACGGTTCACGAGATTGAGTGAAAAACAATAGGAATTGCCATATTTTTTATATTTCGATAACAAGTGGCGCGCCCCACGGCGAGCGGCAGTATCTCGAGGTGGATAACTCGGATTTTATGTTATGGGCCCAATACTAATAACATATCCAAAAATCAGAACTACCCGACCTTTTGCATACCAAAATGTCTTATTTTACTGGACTATTAACTTTGCAGTAGGCTGCTCTTGGAAAATACATCAAAGAAGGATGCTAAAACAATCTCTTCATGACTTTGTTAACTACTATTGCAGTTCCAACAGAAAACATTTTCATGGCAAAAGAGAATCTGAATTGAAGTGAGTATTAGTAACTAGATGTTATTGCTGTTGTAGATATATTTCGGAACCATTGTGGCTCGCATTTACCTGGTAGCTGATCTTCTCAGGATCAACTGTCACACAGGCATGTCTGCACTCATGCGCAAGTGTCTTATTAACGAGGTTGGTGGGATCCAAGCTTTCAGCTGCTACCTTGCAGAAGATTTCTTTTTTGCCAAGTCTTTCTCCGATAGAGGCTGGAGGATACGAGTGGCCAGTCTTCCAGCCCTTCAGAATTCTGGGTTGTGTGAAATTACCAGTTTCCAAGCTCGGTTACAGAGGTATGTAAATAAAGTTGAATGTTTTCAAATTAAGATACTCATTTACTTTTAATTTTATTATAATGCATTTTAATAATTTTGTTGAAATAATACTTTCTTAATGACAGAAGTTTATATTCTGTGAAATTATGTATGTAAATATTTCTTAACTTATTACTGCATATATATATATATATATATATATTGTAAGGTACTTTCTCTACTTTTACCTTATTCCTGAATTCACACTTTTTCGGCTCAAAATCACACTTCACTAGAGGGCTCAAAACGCCTCCAGTGTAGGGTGCCGTGGCTCAACATGCTTCTCTGCTGCACTGGGATAAAAAAAAAGTGACATAGAAAGTCGGTTTTGGTTTATCGGTTATTGTGTAATATTTCATAGTTTATTATTATGGTAATGAAGCAATAAAAAACCATTAGCAGTCCTAAACCCACTACTATTTTGACAATAATAATTTTGATGATGTCAACAAGTACTTCCAAGAACTCGGTGGGTAAAAATGAAGTGAGTTTTATGAGTTCGGATTAGCGCGTTTTTCTAAGCTCATAAAAATTTTTACTACTTAGATTGTTAAAACCTTTTATTCCTTTAGTTCCATTATTTATTACTAGGGTAATAATGGTGAAAACCAATTCTCATTTTATCATGGTAATGATAGTTTTATGATGGTTATTAAATTTTACTTCTGATGTCTTATACAGTATTACTGTAGTGAATATTCAATTTAGGCTGGCCATTGCCTACTGCCATACAATAGTTTATGGTTTCATATGTAAATCATCTTAAGTTATATTTAAAACTTAATATATGTTTTTTTTACCATTTTATTGTCAATTGATAAAACCACCAGCATTGTTGTTTGCTTGTTTTAACCTTACACAGGCCTACTTGGTCTCAAATAATTTAATTTAATTTTCTGTACCTTTGTCTTATAATTTTGATTGTTTACTTTTAAATATTTTTGTTTTTTTAACCCTTTTGCGGTAGAGGTGTGCGGATATCCGAAATTTCGGGTCGGAACTGAACCGAGCCCAAATTCGATATCCAACACTATCTGTTAAATATCCGACATTTCCGGATAGACTGTATACAATGACGTTTGAAACAGAGATCAAAATATTCATAAGGTTACTTAAATCATCATTAGTTTCCCACGACGTAATAATTTCAACACCACTCGTTCCCATTCCGATTAAAAAAAAAAACCCTAACCGAAACCGAACCGATAGATCAGCAACCGACTCATTACTAATTTAATACAACATCATGCTAAATATTACAAATCCTCATGTGCACATGGAATCGTTTAGGTACATATAATATTACAATGTTGTTACTAGCAGAGTCTATTCACTGCTGATAATAATGTACAAATACGATAAATAATCATGTGGAATATAAGCTTACAACAATGGCAAAGCATTTTTTTATTTAATAACTTGATGAACAAAGAAATACACATACAACAAAGAACAATAAAAATATTAATGATTTTAACGAGGAAGAGTGATTACATTTCAATAATTTATAAACATTTTATGAATTTCTTAATTTTTGTCTTAACACTAATTACATTATAGGAACTATTTAAAAGGTCAATAATCGTCTTGGGAAATTGATTAAAAAATTGAACTGATTCCTTGACATGTCACGTTCAAAACATAGAACTACTGAATGTGTATATTTTTTAGGCTCTTGTACATCTTTGGTAGTTCTTAGTATCATATAAAATGTCGGTTTCTTATTACAAAATTAACAACGAAGAAAATAATACAATTGTGAAACAGTCAAAATATCTAGTTCTTTGAACATGTAAGTTATACTTTCATACTCTTTATAGATATGTAATGCAAGGCAACTCTTTGTGGCATATATATTGGCATACAAGTTGTGTAGTGTCTTGTTCAATGTAGTGTGCAGCAGACCTAACACAATACATTACATAATAATTGATACAATTTATCATAAGTGATTTAGGGACTAGTGGATACTTGTTTGTTTGTTTATTCAAGTACAAAAATTAAGTTTACACATTAATTTCCAACGAGCTGCAAAAGCCTCACAAGCCTCATATTTTGTAACGGATGATCCTTTTGAGACGCGGTTTCCGGCAATGAACTCCATTTAACCAGCCCTTTAAAATGATGTGCATATCAACCTATGCTTACATTAAAGATTATGTACCTACTCCTCATGGGTCAACCCCTGGTGGAGGTGAAAAAATGGCAATGCTTGCAAAAAGTAGTGTTCATACATATAAGTTGATGTGAAATATTTGAATTTTATAACAGATTTAGTTAAAAAGATACTAAGCCGTTTCCAGACTTTTTTGTCATCCTGTATTTATATATACTGTATATATATATATGAATTTGAACAGATGGTGTTTTTTGCCTCTATGGACCTTTAAAACGAAAAAGTAAATCGGTCCCGGGTCCAGGTCTTACCATGAGTACTAAGGTAATAGCTTATTCCCTATATGGGAAATTTGCTAAAAGAATTATTAAATACCTACCTTTTAAAATTTTAATGAACCAGAAATACTATACCAATGCCCACGCTACCAACATGTTCGTTTATTTCAGGTGGGCCAAACTAAGGGTAGCAATGCTGCCTCACACTATTCTCCTAGAACCATTGTCTGAATGCTTTGTACTCGGAGCTTGCGCAGCATGGTCGGCTAACTACCTCTTTGGATGGGAGCCTCTAGTTTTCTTCCTCGTTCACGTTTTGTTCTGGTTTTTCTTAGACTGGATTCTCCTATCAGTTGTGCAGGTGAGACCATCTACTAATATTGATTTTAAAAAGCCTGTAATTTTACAAACAAGTTTATCGAAACAGAATTTCTATAAGCTGTAATACTTCAGGGCTGTCAGCGATAAGGAATTCCTTGAAAATCGGGAATTATGAATGAATCTTTACCGGAAAATGGTATTATTCGGGTGTTTTCCGTGAATATCAATAAATATGATTATGTACGTTTATTTTTGAGGAATTTTATAGTTATAACAATTTTGAGCCAATTTATCCGAAAATTTTAATAGTGAATGTACATTTATGGAAGATTTGGATTGGTGATGCAGCAGAATACGCAAGATACGCTGCCAGCTCTATAATAACAACGTGTAGTGTGTAGCAGCAGTGTCGATCCACGCATAGCTGGAACAAAGCCAAACTCGGTCTCAAAACTCAAGGTCATGGCTTGAATTATGTCCTAGTCGAATATTAATTGTATTATAAATAGGGATAGGCCGATAACAGAATTTCTCGACTCTATACCAGTTCTAAAATATTACTCACAATTCTCAATACCGATTCCATATAAAAACTCATATTTTTTATTTTAAGGAAGTTGCCATGGTCAATGTTTTGTTGTTCGTATCATCCATGTTTAAATTTTGAATCAGACAACCAACGTAGTTCATGCCGGCTCAAAATTATCGTGCGCTCTCAGTTAAACGGAATCAGGGACAAAAAACAAAATAGAAATTACAAAACGAAATAGTCATAGATTGAAAACATCCAAATGGAGGTCCAAAAATCGAGACTCTGTAAAATGTTGTTATGTTGGTACCACTAGAAGAATCAACAAGCTCATTGGCTATTGGCAGTCCCACAATCTCCTAGTTCCAAAGTACAAATCCCCTACCCCTAGTACATATTTGAACGTCTCTCAATTCTCGCTTTCTGTGCTACCTTCGGTTTATAGATTCTGCTGACAACCCTGTACTTGCTTAATTTATTGACAGTTATGTGGACGGTCCGATGAAACCATCATGTTTCATGTGTTAAATGTTTGGTTTTACAGTGTTCAAAAACATTGTCTGTTATGTTGATAAGTTTAAATGTTTTAATTACAACATGGCCAGCTTAGATTATTTAACTTATTGTTTAAAACTATACATTATTGATTTTGAAACGGAAACAGGTTATTGAACATTTTTTAATTTTCTGGCTGTAACATTGGTGATGTTTGTTCCAGAATGGGTCGCTGCCATTCAGCAAGTTTGACTTTGTGATAGGGTGGTTGTTTAGAGGGATCAGTGGTCCGTATTTGTTCCTGTACGCAGTGTGGGATCCAACCATCAGATGGCGATCGCGCACGTATCGTCTGCGCTGGGGAGGCATTGCAGAGGAGTGTCATCCCAAGGTGAAAATGTGAGATTGGTTGGATACTCGCAAATACATGCCTCTCACTATTTACGCTTAAATCGCTCGCTTGATGTTTTGCGAGGAACTAATTCAACGTTTTGTATAATCTTATATTACACCCGAGTAGTACAGTCCTTTTATATTTGTCGTTAGGTTTAATAAACCAAACATATCAACTGGGGAGTTTGAAGAGTGAACAAACAGTTATGGTAACAATATTGGGTACTTATGTTACTTATCATACTGCCTACTATTATTATATTATATTTGTTTATACCTATTATTATAAGTTTGTAAACATAGTTTTAAATTGTGTAATAAGGTTTGCTTTTTAGAATTGCGAGGTAAGATATTTTACAAGATTTCAAACCACCTAGATTCAGTTTATTGTCTGATTTTGTTAACTAAAGATATCTTGTTGAAAGAACAAACATTACAAAAAAGGTCTAACCTCTACAATTAATTATTGAAAAGCCTGTGCTATGCAATACTGCTCAAATTTTAAAAGAACAATTTTTGTTTTTCATCCATTTCGATATTGACCGTCTTGCAATAATTTGATATCATTGATTCATTAAGTACATCACCACAAACTAACTTAAAATTGTTTATAATATCATTGGATTGAACTTATAAAAATTAGCATGGATGTGATTTTTAAACTAAGTTATCTCCTCTGTAAAGTAATTCTCTGTTGTACCTTTTCAGGTTTAAAATAATACCAAAATGAGGAAATACGATTTTATAATTGTTTTAAAATGGCATATACTTCCTTGGTTCCTTTGTTTTGAGGAATGTTACAAAACATAATGCAACCAATATTTTTTATACTATTTCTTATTCTTAGACTCTATAAAATATTCATCTACAATATAACTAGCTCCTTTCGATAGCAACAACCTATTCATAGCTTATGAAAATAACTTCATAGCAAACAAATTTGAAGCTTAGACATAAAATTAAATTACCTTTATGATCAAATTTACTGTAAAAAGTCGATATTACTAAAAGATCCATATTAAAGATTAATTATATTTATTAAATAGGTTATTGAGCATATAAATCCTTCTTTATTGTGGAGAACTTAGGACCTCATGGCCCTTTCTTACAGTTAACCTCTAAAAACTAATAATAACAACAAAACCAAATCAGTTAATGTACTACTTATAGCAAATATTCATTATTTTGTCTTCCAAATTAGAAGAATTAAAACAATAACGTATCGTACTGAAACTTCCAGCAGAGATTGTAGTAAGTTTTGCAAGAGAATTGCTTTTCTTTAACATGAAAGACAAAGAACTTAATGTGAATTAAAATGCTTACTCTTGACTCGAAGTACAAGAAAGTATGCCGTTTCATGCATATGTTATTGTTTTAAACTTATTTAATATAATTTGTCTTCCTGCTCAACACGAAAGTCTTCTTACTTTTACTTTAGTAAATATCTGTAGTATTTGAAATGAACAAAATTGAGAAAGGTAAAATTGAATATAGCTGTTTTCTTGTATCGTCATAAAGTAATAAGGTTTGTTGTTGATTATGATGGCTCTAGTAGGCTATTGTGTTTAAGTTTTTTAGTTAACAAGAATATTTGTTGTGATCTATTCATAGAATAGTGATACTTTTTGTTTACAATATTGAATTTTAACATGTTTCCTTTGAACTCTTTTTTTCCGTAAAACCTTATATATATATTTTCAGGGTTATAACCGGTGTAGATTTAGAAATACATAAATGATACTCCTTCTAATCATTGTTAAACTTCCAAATTCATTCCATATTTTTTTATTTAAAGCTGCCAAAATTTTAACAGGTGATTATTATACATTTATTATATACATTAGCCATCTTCTCAACTATTTACAGACATTTTACTGATATTATTGTGCTGAAACCTTAATGATTGTTTAATTTTTAATATATTTCAAGATTAAACAATAAACATGAACAAATTTATAAAATTTTTTTATGAATGTTGGGCAAAGAGTTGTGTGTTCAATTTTATTTTTTCGACAAAATTGTAGGAAATATATTGTGGGATTGATTTGGTATTATAATAAACTACATTTATCGTGATTCAGCTACGCTAGCAATATATTTATCATTTATTTTATGATTCTCCCTTGACTTGTGTCTTCCCAGTTGTGTTGTAAGTATTTACTTAAATAGATCTTTGTTAAAAAAACATGAATTGATCCGTATGAACCAATACAATATTGTAGTTAAATGTTTCTGAGCCTAATGCTGTACTTTTTGTCTAATTATGAAGGATTCGTCTTATAGGATAGTCTTAAAAAGGAAAAAAAAATATTAGAACGATCTAGCTCAGATTGAGTTTATTCATTTGATTATTTTCATAGGAATAATTGAATTTTTTTATGTTGATTGATTTATACAAAAATCTCAAAACTAGTTTTATTTATATAGTTATTGAATTTTTCAGTCATTATGTCTATGCTAATCACCTAAATTATAATAATGTATTCTAAACTAGGCAATGTAAACCTCTTATCTGACAACTTATTCCAAAGAATCCTGCAGGTTTTTACATTTTTGTGATAAAAATATTGGTTATGTTGGTTCTCTGACACAGTCAGATTTTAATTTCCAGTCCAACAGGTTTAACCAAGAAGTTGACCCTCATTAGCGATGCGAGCCAGCATAGGTATGTTCCTTGGCCCTACTACCCCAGGCCTAGAATCTAGTGCTAGTGACACAGCGCCAAAATCTCAGATACAGGAGTTTGGTTAAAAAATAAATGTAAATTGATATAGAAGTTTTATTTAATTTTCGGAGTTCATTTTATGAAGATGACCTCAACCCCAATATCTGTGATTTTGGTGCTGTGTCACTAGCACTAGATTCTAGGCCTGGGGTAGTAGGGCCAAGGAACATACTTATGTACCAGACTGTATATTAAACTGCGGCCTTGTGTCAGAGTTCCTAACCCTCGCTCGGGTCAACCCCTTGGACTGGAAATTTAAATCTGACTGTGTCAGAGAACCAATGTGGCCAAAATATTACACCTTTCCAATCAATGAAGAGTGGTTGTAAAACTTAAACCTTATTACTTTATTTACTTTTGGTTTTTGTCAATTTGTCTTAAAAATATCTGGAACCTAGGACAGTAGGGGGGAAATAAAAACAATTGTAAACATTCGTAATATGGGTCCAACGGTAATAATGTATTTCTTAACAAAACTATGTTTTTAATTTCTAAGTAATTGTTTCCTTGAAAGCAAAATAAGATGAAATAAATGTTACCATATGATACTGGTTGTTTTGAAAACTTGTTATTGTGTTAAATCACTTTTCTTATAAGTTTTAAGACTGCTTAAAATCATGAAATGTATAGAGGTGAATACGTAGTGCCTGAAAACTGAGTTCGGGCTCCTTTATTGAAATGTAAATGTCCAGTTGATCGTAAATGAAATTAGGAGAAATCCATAGTTGCTAAATTCAAACCAAAATAATTGACTTGTGGGATGCCAATCTTAGCTAGGCAAGAATAAATGTGGTTGGTAAAATTATAAGTTTGATTAATTCTTAATTATAGAGGAAGCTAACACAGGGTTTTATCTACGATATTTCTGTTACATTTGACCCTCTTCTAAATTGGTGGATATTTTTTATATTACAGTAAAACACCTTGATTTCGCTTTAGTCAGCTGTATCCTGGAGTTGAACGAGATTATTTTTTTACTTTTGAGTGTGTTCTTTACTTAGTACAAAAATAGTAAAAGTATTGTTAGAGTTGTTTGAGGTTGTGACGTACATTGTATCATAAGTTGTGTTTTGCCATTGAGGAGTAAGTAGGCCGAAGAAAAATTTTTGTTCGGTAATTACTGGGTCATGACATTGTTCCAGATTGAATTAATTCCTTATACATACCATAAAGCATTGTAGATATCAGCTGTTTTTTGAGGCTGCATTGCCAGTATTTAAATCTTTTTATTTTTCAGTCACCATCTTTGGATTAATCTGTGATAAAGGATATCAAATACTTTAGCGATTTAGCGTTTGTGAGTGACATTAGTATATTGCATTTTTTGAAATGGAGAAGAAAAAAATCCACTTTATGGAAAAGTGCTTGCTTTGTTAAAATTCACTTTAATATTCAGAGATGAAAAATTATTTAGTAGGACAAACCAGCTTGTGATTTCTAGTTTTGTGGTCGGAAACTTAATTGTACATTTCTTACAATGATAACACAACATTAAATTATTTAGGTCTATAATGCTTTATTACGGTTGCTGTTAGTTTATAAACATTAGATTTTATATCGCTCCTACTAATGTACTTATTCTTGGAACATATCTGAAAAGTCAACATTAAAACGATATTGCTGCTTGTGTTTTTAAAAGTAGTCTGGTAGATGAAATACGTGACGACAACATAAAAAAACTTACACATGCTTTACTCGATACTAGATTTATAAGTATTCATGTACTAGACAACTTAATATTTATCGTTAAATGAATTAATTATTTTGCAAGATTTATTTGTATATATTAAGAAAGTGGTAGATTTTTTATTATGTAACGTATAAAAATCCTAAAATGAGAATATAATGGTACAAAAGAAATTCTAATGAACATTTTTTTGGCTGTATATGCATTGTTATTTTCTATGTTTATGTGTTAGCAAACATCATACTTACACCAGTTTAAACAAAACTATGATAAATATGCCAGTTTGTGCTGACATTTTGGCATCAATTGCTACAGTTGCTTTGTTTGAAACACTTGTAGCCTGAAGCACGTTTTCTAGCAATGACTAAGTTAGAATAATACATGTCTGGTGGTTTAGTTTGATTTCAATATAGACTTTAATCCACTTATGTGATCCAAAATTCTTTTGTATGCAGGGATTTCTTTTGGAATCCAAATAAATGCAGTAGAATACCTCACTGCCTTATAGAACATAGTTAGGTTTTCCCCCAGATTCAAATGGATCAACTCAGAGCTAGCCTTAGGTGCTGTGGGCCCTTTACTTGTAAAAAGGTAGTATCCCATCCCAACAATACGAAAAAATATATATATTCTATGTAAAATAAACAAATGTATAATAATCATCCTCAATCACCAACTGTTGCTCATATGATTTTCTTTTTTTCTTCAATAATCATAAAGTATTTACAAAAATTTACATAACAGTCTTGGTATTGTTTTTTTTTTCTTATGCAAAGGGCTTTAAATTATAAGCTAGAAATGTCCTTGCATAACAGTAAATTTTTTGATAACTTCATAATTGGAAGTAATTCTTAATTAGTAAAATTTAAGACTAGTTTCCAACCTTGAATATCTCGGCAACATCTATGATCATCTTCTGCCATTGTAGCAACAACATTGATAATTTTCTGCGACTGCAGCAACATACGCCAGCATCTCTCATGATCACAGCAACAATGGTGATGTTTTTTACAATTGCCATGACTTCCGGAAGAAGGGGTTAAATCGTTTTACTTGACACAATGACGCAAAAAGAGGAAAAACAGCAATTATTATTGGATGTTATTGGCAATAATTTATAATTAAAATCTCTTCAGTCCCATTCACAGTTATTACTTTTTATAATTATTTTCAGTTTTTTCTGTAAGCTCAGGGCCCTGTGCAGCAACACCCTTCCACATGTGTCTAAGGGTGGCTCTGGATCAACTTAGATAGGTTGATTCAATGTTAATATTCACATCACAAGTTGTATACCCCTCAATTTAAACTTGAATCATCTAAACCCCTAAATCAAGGTTAGCTTTCAGTAAAATCCTTGAAAAGTAAGGTTTATAAATAATAATAAAATTAGCCTTTTTTTTAACAAAATCAGTTTTCAAATGCTAAAACTATTGTCTCATTTTAGCTTCTTTATAAACACATTTTTGATATGTATAATAATAATGAAAATTATATTTCATCTTGTTGATTGATTTTTATTTTAATACCCGTCATATTCCTAGTCTATTGTGACCTGCTGTTTGCAGAAATTATTACCTATGATTAAGCAAATTATGATCATGACGGCTGGTCGCTTGTCTAGTGGCTAGAACGTTGAACTCTGGTTCAAAACCTGCATAACACCAATCACTTTTTGTGAACAGTAAGAATGAAGTTTCCGGAGTTTAACACGTCCAAGCGTTCGCCAATGACGTCGAAGCCCCAGCGCGCCACCGAATCAGCGAACACAATTGAAATTCAAAAATTTCAGTCTGACGAAACACAAAAGAGCAGTGGTGATTTGCTGCGTTACCCCGAGAGTGGACGTAGTTCACTGAAACATCCAAAGGTAGCAGCACTGCCTAGATCTGTAGCCAGTGTCTTTGTAATGTGGCTCGAAGAGAGAAAAATCCCCGAAACCGGGACGAAAGCATTGCCAGACAGAATTTTACGGGAAACTTTTGTACCAAACTACACCAAAATAAAGTTTGCATTCTAAGCTACGACTTTTAACTTTCCCCCGCTCATACTGAACTAATGTAGTGGGAATGGCACTACATCAATAGATGAAGCCCGCACTCAACGTGTTAATAAAGAAATTGGGCTCGGAAATCAATTTATTATGCCTGCAAAGGTATTTTTCAATGAAAATGCTTCGTTTCAAACATGACAGTTGTAGTTTCTGTTAATTCAATCAAAAGTCTTATTTCATCATTGTACATATTTTAAATGGAAGACACAATTAATTGTGTATTTCAGTGTCAAAAAGCTAATTTTTTATTTAAGATGAAGATAAGTGTTGATTCCGGGCCTTAGGAAATCTTGCATGTTTTGGGAGTTGGGTTATAAAAGCACACAAGGCAAGTTCCACATTCTAAAACTTTAATGTGTATATGATAATAATTATTTTACATGTATGGCAATATAGTTTTAGAGGTAGTTAAATACAATACTAGTGTCAAAATAGAACAGTACCATCAAGGAAATAAAACAGGCTCACTCATGTATGACTTTAAAAGTTGCTATGCATTGACAAGTATCAAAATTAAGCTAGGTAATGTGACATCACATCACAACCTCTAACACTAACCACTTTGTACATATTTATATAACACTACAACAATGTTAGTATTATCTGTATGTGTACCTCTTCAAGCAAGAAAACCAGATTTTAATGCTATCAGATTACAATTTACAAAATGTTATGTTTTGTTGTTTTGTTTTGTTACAATGTGTGACTGATACTTGAAAACTTTGCTTTGGAAACACATGTTTACATAACTTTTAGTGTTACACACCTGGTTATCCATAATTGTTACTACAGTAGAATTCCAATTATCCGAATCAATTGGGACCGGACCCCATCTGGATGATTGGATTTTTACCGAAATTCAGAGTCTTAAAGAAATAGGCCGAGCTTTTACTATTGCAATCACAGAACGCGTCTGAGACGATTTTGCGATAGGAAAATTTATGCTTTCGCCGCGATTGCAATGTAGGATTATTATTTTCCGTGACCGTGGGAGACGATGGTGGTGTGAACAGAACCGTTGTATATATTTATAAGTTCTCCACGATCGCGAAAAACTATGACGATGTTTCCGTGACCGCAGGAGACGATGATGGTATCAACAAAATCGTGAGATAGGTTTTGGATTTTGACGCGATCACGGCTCCTGCCTCCTTTAATAACAATTCTTATTATGTACTGTGGTTTTAATTTTTTTGTATGCAATTCGGATAATCGGTGATTCGGATAGTTAGAGTTCTACTGTAAAAGCAATTTATTCTACTTATATTAAGTTAATTTCAGTTTAAATATTTACTTTTCCAATTAAACCCTTAATACACACAACACAAGACAACATTCAAGACATACATGTATTTAAAATAACTCTCAAGGTTAATCCATTTGACAGAGAACAAAAGTTTTGTTTTGTCACCAAACTATATTCCAGTTTTTTTTAAGAATGTTTTCTTCCCAAGCAAGCGTTACTGTTTACATCCAAAGTTATTTTTGATTTAATTAATGAAATGTTTATGGGGGCTTATATTTACACATGTAAACCCTAGTTTTGTCAGTAAAACATGTTTGAGAAAAGGGAATGTTTACCAAACCAGTAGTGACGGTACATTGACAAGTACAGTAGACTCTCTCTCATTCACACTGAGAGCAAAGTCTAGTCGAACTTGAAAATATCAGAATCAACACAGGTTGATAAAAATGAAAGTATACGTTTCAAAACCAGTGTGCAAATTAGTTAAAACAAAAAAGAAATACACCAACAACTAATTAGAGCGATAGAAGGTTAAGTTTTGACTTGTTAGGGAACAAATACATGGGAGAGCTAGTCATACTCAAGGGGACATCCAATAAGAGGGGGTCTGCTATATTAGTGTTTTTTGTTTTTATTATTTTTTATTTAATACATGCATTGAGGGGCTAAAATAATTATTTTCATCCCTAAGGGAAAAATAAAAATAAATTGGGAGTTGAGGACATATTTTTCTGGCTTATACAGGGTGTTTCCAAATTGTCAGGAAATATTTTGTGTTCCTTGGGCTAAGACAAACATAAAATGTCAAATAAGTATGGGTCTAAAATGCCTGGATTTCTGTCAGTTTGCTTGTTGTTTTTTAAAACTATTTTATATCTCAGGCCTTTTTAAGATAGTAATTTCACAATTGGTATAAATGTGCTGTTTAGAAGGTAAAAAGAGCTTAAAAAATTTTGCTCCAATAACTCAAGCCATTTTAAATCTTTAAAGCCAAATTTAATGAGGCGGTATAAATATCCAGGAGGCATTTTTACTCTACTACTAAGAAATTGTGTTAAATTTATCAAGTTTTGCAATAATTCATTATGAAGTGATGACAATTGTAATTCACTAATTTGAACTAGATAAACAACTAGTCGTAACCGATATAATATTGAGTTAAACAGACCAATCTGACAACTTTGGGAATTATCTTTTGCTATTCTTATGGAGAATAAATAAACTGTTATTGTTTGCTTGTTTATGGAAATATTTTAATCAAATTTGGCAGTTTTGTTTATTTAATTAGCTATCAACCTTTCAATAAAAACACACCTCATAGCACCACCCCGTAGCAGCAAACCTAAGTACTCCCTTAGTACCTACCTTAAAATCAATGTTATTTAAATAAAAAATAAATCTGACAATTTTAGGGGAATATTCTAATGGATATCTTACCAGAAATTTTGCATTTTTAACAGACTATTCTAATTACATTTGAATTAGTTAAAAAATGAATTATTTTTTAAGTCAGGCTTATCTTTTGAAAATTACTGACATCTGCACAGTGAAATACTGTCCTGTGTAGTAGGACATCCATACATAAAATATTTACAATCACTTAACCTAGCAAGGAAATGGAAACAATACAGTAAACATCTGTCCATCTATTTGTTCACGAATCGGTGATGTTAGAAAGCAAGTTTTTAACCCCTTGGTAAAAATTGTTAAAACTGAAATATGACTCATAAAAAGATAATGTTGTGTCCCAGCCGAAACAAATCTATACATCTAAAGACATAAACATTGTGGAAAACATATTAAATTGAGGGGTTTGTGCATTTTATTTGAACACATTCAAACTCAATCTCACTCAATATTATTTTAGATATACTTAACAATTGTGTCGATGAATTAAAATCATTCAGAAAAATAAAAATATGTGATAAAATATTACTTCTCAGATTACACTTTAACGATCATATCACATGGAATTCATGAATGCGAGTTTGATGAAAGGTCGTCAATTTGGTCCTAAGAAAAGTCAGCAACTTTTTTATGGTTAGAAACTAGACCCAGCGGTCCTTGATCATTGGGCTTTTAATAAAAATGGTCCTGGCTTATGAAACAGCTGATCTTAGTCAATAACCAAGGTACACAAGGCATCCCACATCATTCTCTACTCCACTCATCCTACACTTGAGTTTGGGTAAAAGATCTCAATTGGTAATAATAATAACAATACATTTGCACTTTTCCCCACAATCCACAGTGTTAACCACAAGTAAAATATCTCCTTTGCCAAAATTAAACCTTTCCTTACAAGGTCCCCTTTCTTTTCACATCACATATAAGCGTGAAGTTTTAAATTACAAGTTTCTATCAATAACATAAATATTCTTCCAAACAACAACAAAGAATGCAAGATATAAATACATGCAACATTTTAAAACTTCTATACACATTTAAAAATATAAAAAAATATATACTTTACACAAATTATAAATTATAAATGTTAACATATTCCATCCACTTTTGGTAAGTATTCTGAAAAATTTTAAATTATATACACTTTTGGTCGATATAAATATGTGTTGATGCTTGGGACAGAGATGATTCTTCTAACTCTTTGTCCGCCTTGGACTCGGTGGAGTAACTAAAACAAATTTGGCTCCATAACTACCATTACAGTTACTAAGAAAAACAGACTGAGTTGTTTGGGCCATTTGGGGGAAATGGAAGGTGAGTTTATGGATGTTCCTTAGAGGGGAAAATTAGTGTACATCAGATTACGATTACGGTTAGTATAACTCTTGCTATCGATAATGTTTCAAAAAGATTTTTTGAGATGATGTAGGACAAAGAATGACAAAAAACTGGCTAGTATATGGCTTTTGAACATTGGGTAACATCTCTTCTTAAAGTCTCATGGAATCTTTTCATGATGTAGAAGTCTCTTTTGGCTGATGACTTCATACCATCAACTCAAAAGTATTCTACTTACAAAGTTGCTCGCTATATATTATTACTAAGGAGATAAAAAAGTGCAGAATCTCCATGATGAATTAGTGCAACAGCTGTTTCGGTAGGTTGGGGTTGCCACTTTTGTCCAGCCACGACCTTGTATTAGAGGAGACTAAAGGTATCCACCCACAATTTGATGGTGTTCGGGATGGGATAGGCTCCCCACGAGCCACATTAAAATGCCTACGAAACTTACGTTGCGTATCAACAACAGAATCGCCACTTTTAAAATACGCCTCAACGACAAACGCGCGATGTATACCGGTCAACTGCTCCATGGCGACTGAAATGGGGTCACTTGGCCTTGAGAATGAGCCGCTCCCCACCACCCTCCTCCACTCGGCTTCTGGAATGTACTCGCTTGAAAACCGTCAGTTATTTCTGCCGCTCCCTGTACTTATAGAAACTTATTGCCCGGCACTTCCGGTAGCCAATAGTATATAAGGGACGCCATTGTAAACAGTAAACAGTATAAGTGTACATATATTTATTAGAAGTGTTATTTTACATATTTTTGTACTTTCAGGTAATATGAAACTATACATCCTGTTAGCAAAGTAGTTTTTCTTAAGTAATGTCTTTGGTAATGCAAAAAATAACAGATTTTTGTAACTATCTAAAAAAAACAAGCTTTTGCTTGTATTTAAAGAACACACTCTTTGAATGGTTTATTTTTCTCCCGATCAGTGAAACCTCTTGACAATTTAAATTTATTTGCTTGTCCAACAAATTTTGAATTATCATGCGTTTACTATATTTGACTGTACAAAGCTTTGGTGCTGAAGTAGGAGAGTTCAGATTTAGATTGTTTAGGTTTTGGCAATTGCAAGGTATAGATTTTTAGTATTTTGAGAAGTCTACAGTTTTGTATACATGTTTTTAGAGTTTGATTATTTTTGAAAAATTGTTCAAACTGATTTTTAGAGGAAAGATTTTGAAGTTTTATTTTATTTTAAGTTTCTGGGTTTAAGAACTTCTAAAAACTATCATGATGGAATGGTTTTGGGATCCTGTGAATTAATTGAAAGTGGTTTATTTATATTACCTGGTTGTTGTCAAAACGGACCATGGTAGTTAACAATGACTACAGCTGTTTCATCCTGCAGATAGAGCACATCATCAGGCCAGAATATCAGCATGCTTTAAATATTCCTAATGGCAGAAGTCCGTCAGAAGTTTTGAACTATACAAATAACACAAAACTTAAACATGTAGAGAATTCATTTAATTTGTATAGTTAAAGACTTCTGACTAACTCTACCATGAGGACCATGCAGACTTTCTGACCTTTTTAAGTACTCCATTACCAGCACTTAACAGGCCAAGTCGTAAACTATTACGTATTGTTTTGACAGTAACCAGATATATTAACCTTCTTCTTCCTAAAAAGTATATCTTGAAAGTGGAAATATCTTCACTTTTGAGCGTTTTTCTTTATGGGGTGATTTTTTTGTTTTTATGTACGCAATAAGCAGATTTTGGTGTTTTGATGTTTACAAACTCCTTGTGTGTATATAATAACACTTCTTGACAAATCAACATACTCAAGAGTTTCCAAACATACCTCAAAATTGGCACTGACTGATCCATAAGGATATCCATAGTCCAAGAGATATTTGGTTTTGCCTAACCTAAAACAGAATGATGTCATTGGTATAAGTAATGCCAGTTTGCCACCTCAAGTTATATTTTTGATGAAATTAATTCATATGAAAAAAAAAACAACTGGCTTACCTGAGAGAAGTATAATAAACTAATAGATGCACAATAAAAGGTCACAATACATAACAACAATATTTGGTCTTTTTATTGTGCATATGTTAATACTTAGACTTAAATTCTTTCAGATAAGCTTGCTGAATTTTATAGTTTTTAAGCTATTCCTAATCAGTCAGTCACCTGGCTTCCCATTAAAATATATTTGTTAAATACAGTGTACGGAATGTTTTTGATAGAATACAGATAACAGTAGATATGACTTATTACAGAGCACCTTTAATTTTAATTTTAGAGCTATCACAGAAACTAAAATAATATACCAAAACCAAGATTAAACAACAAGACAGAACATGAAAGATATATAATAAGGTCGAGGATGCAATTTCAATTGATATGATTTTTTATGATTACATCTTTGAGCCCATAAAATCAAAACCCTCACACATCTTGTGAGTGAAATACGGAGAAAAGGGACGTTTCCTAGAAATTTAAACAAAATATTGTTCAGTCTCTACCTAAAACTGCAAATTAAAAAGTACCGGTATCCAGAAGAAAAAAGACAGATTTCTAAACTGCTTGTCTTTTCAGATATATTTCAATAAGCTAAGATTCATCAAATAATAACTTAAATTAGTTAATAACAATATATTGTCAGCCATTCAAAGCCAAAAATGAGGGTAACTGCAGAAATGTTGTTGGATTTGACTGTTCAAAAGCCTTGGACTTTCTAAAACATGGATAGGCCTCTGCTAGGGAAGATGCACTTTTGTTTAGTGATGTGGGCCAGGAATATTCCCAGTGGGAGGGAACTTATAAAATGGGAATATTTCTTTGGCTTAGGACCGGGAAGATGCCCAAATATTGGGCAAAATGAAATGAAATGAAAATGAATTGAAAATTTTAAAATGTTAGACGTTTTAACACAGTATATTGACAGTTAAAGAATCTTAAAACTACGTTACCTAAGTAAATTCATACATTTTAGTCTAAGAGTTGTCATTCCATTCAATAATTTCCTGTATAAACAAGTTGGAATTTATGAAGCCTGATGGTTTTTTATTCTTAAACTATCATTAAAAACTTAAGGTATTTATATACAAAGCACTTTTTTTAGAACTGATGTTTAAACGTCCTTTGGTCTAACATATTTATAACAATCTTTATTTAAAAATTACCTGTTTCTTTATGTTTTCCAGCTTTACAATTTGGCATTGTTAGGGCCCACAACTTTCAACATTGCCATACTAGAACTAGTACATTACAGTTTTAACAAACAAAAGGTGAGCTAAATAAATAGTAACTTAATTCTTTGAATTAAAAAAAAAACATTGAATACCAAAAGATTTTTATAAATTTCTAACAAGGAGGTAAAGTCCAAAGTAAGTAATAAAGTAATAAGTAAAAAATAATAAAGTAAAAAAGTAAAAAGTAAGTAAGTAATAGTGGTAAAGTCCTTTATTGACCAACTGGACCAATGCCTGACTCATGTCTCGGACCTCAATCTAAGGAACTTTGATATTGTGTGGAGATTTCAATGTACATCTTGAGTGTCCGTCTATCCGTTTGTTTTACGACTTTTGTTATCATCTATAAGTAGGCTACTATTATTTTATACTTTTTTTATGTGTTATCTAATGTTTTTATTGACATTCTTCTGTCCTGAAACAGCGTAGCAGTAGCCTATGACTAGCAGTAGCTTACTAGACTTTCTATTGTTCTGTTCTTTATTTGCTGTACAATGTTTGGCAATTTGTTTGTTTGTTGAGTAAAAGTTGAAAAAGCTGTGATTTTAAACGTTACAGTTTTTAAAACTGAACCAAGGTTAATGACATAGCATGATTATCATGATTGCGCAATAGCATACTAATTGTATTTTTATGATGTAGGCCTAATATGCAAATTATCACATTTAAGTCCATTTATACATTTAGTATTAGGCATTGTTTACGAGTTAGAAATAACTGTTTTAAGTCATGTTGAATTAACCGTGGTTATCAGTTATTTGTGGTCTGTTCAAAATACAGTTTTACCACGTTTTTATGTCAATAAACATGTTCCTCTGATAATCCGACCTTTTTGCTGTTCCGTCCATGGTCCCGGTCCCGTAGGTGACGGATTAGCGAGGTTCTACTGTACTGTAATTCATTCTAGGTCTGTGTTAAACTATGTGTCAGAGTTAACAGGTTTATTCAGTTTTCCTAACCTTAGTTTATGTGGCTCCTGCCTTTTTCTTCCGCCTTTCTGTTTTCTTTTTCTTCTCACCACCAACACCATCTTGTCTCTTAGCGATACAGACTCGACAAAACCAGTCATTAGAGTCTGGAGGAACCTGGATACCAACACACACCCTGAAACGATAAAACAATGTTATTGCAAAACGTGTTTAAACATTTTAAAATCTATAGCCAAGAGTGGAACCTCGATAACAAGACCCTTCATAACAAGTCACCCTTGATAACAAGGTGTCATTTTCAATTTCCCTAGAATTTATTTTACCCCTAATCGCACATTAATACAAATCTCAAGGTGGACAAGTCAACCTTAATGTTGTCTTATTTATAGGGATGGACGGGTCTCGAAATTTCAGGAAATTTTAAATCTCGTTCTACAAAACGAGATTCTATTTTGGTCATAAAAAAAACAAAAAAAAAAACGCCTGCAGAAAGTCAATGCAATACAGAAGCGTGTTGATGTTGCGTTTCCTTTGCGAAGGCGTTTTTATTTAATTATTAATTCTTTACATGTAAATATTGCTTTAATAGTTTTATAATTTTTTGTTTTGAGATAGCAAATGATCAGAAGTTTAGTGTAAGCAGTGTGAGACATGTTTTACTACTGTAAACATAGCCTAAATAAGTCACTCCAAAATCACTCTAGAAATAGCACAATACTGAAAATTGTAGGTATTTAAAAATCAGGTTAAAATGTGGAACTTGCATTTCCCGTTATATATGAGAAGGGAAATCCTGTCTCGTCTCGAACTAAAAATCCAATCTTGTACATCCCTACTTATTTAACAATCTCCAAGAGAGTCTTGTTATCAAGGTTATACTGTACTGCAAAAGCATCATAATGCTTGTCTGCAGCTGACTTTACCCAAATATTTAATTGGTTAGGTGCCTTTTACAACATTCAATAGGAATTCACTGATTCAAGTCATAAGTAAATAAAAATAAGTCTATTAGCACGGTAACCACTTAACATACGAGGGCTATCCAGAAAGTAGATTACGTTTTTGTCTGTATCCGCTAAGGGCAGGGCTAGCGCAACCATCTTGGTGTTATTTCGTTATGCAGCTCAGTCGGCATCTAGCCGTGCTAGTAAGAGGTTTCTGCTGTACTCCATTGAGTTACTGTGTCAGTTTAAAATATCTGTGTTAATTGAAAATGCCGCAAACTGTGAAGTGCATGCAGTTGTAAGGTTTTTGACTGCAAAAAACTGTAAACCGATAGGAATCTATTGGCAACTGGATGATGTCTGCGATGGCGGGAGTTCCTTTGCACAGGAAGAAAATTCTGTTACATTTTCGTTCCAAAACTCAGGTAGGAAATAAAATCCTGTATCATATAGAAACAAAAGTACAATCCAGCCCATCCATACCTATCAGTATAAAACAAAATCAGTACATACCAATGGTACCACGCATCACAGCCATCACATCCTATCATAGGACTTCCGTCATCCTGTCCTCCGCAAGCCGGGCATATCCATACTTGGTTGCCTTCTTTGTCCTGTAACATTCTGTCTCATCAAGCAAGGATCAAAGATATCCAGGACCTCAGAGGACATAAGGATCCAGGGATATGAACTAGGGACGCAATAGTCAACCCCCCCAAACCCCCTGTAGGCCTACACATCCGTTCACATCATCGTCCCAAGCTACAGTATACTCTTTCTTCATTACAAATGACACATTTACTATGGATCTACAATCCTATATTACCCTAACATTTTGTGGTTGAAAAGGTTTGATGCTGCAAAATAGGTTTTAAAATCATTTCTTCAAAAGACTCTCAGTTCCTTGCTAAGTTTACTACCGACTTATTGATTTTTCTATTGAAGCAGTAAGCAAACCATATTTTGTTGTGGTGTTTCCGGACCAATTGATTGGCAAATAAATAAAAGGTTAAAATACCTGCTTGTCGCCTTGTGGTCCAAATTGTTGTCCTAGTGGATTATGTACATTTCGGCGCGAGCGCCATCGTCGGATCCGTATAAGAACTGTTTACACTAAACATCCCTGAAGAGGTCATCTTGCGCACCTCTTCAGGGAAGTTTAGTGTAAACAGTTCTTATACGGATCCGACGATGGCGCTCGCTCCGAAATGTACATAATCCACTAGGACAACAATTTGGACCACAAGGCGACAAGCAGGTATTTTAACCTTTTATTTATTTGTAAGCAAACCACTTTTAAGTAATGGGTCTTCTGTCAATATGGTGAGAATTTTTTTCTTTGCTTCAAGATTGTTTTATTGTGTTCCAAGCATGTCCATTTCAAGCATCAAATGTCATAAAAAATAAAATACTAGCATCAGGACGATAACAGTTATGTAAAGCAGCACTACGAGTCTGCTACAATGTTGGCGTTAAGAGGAGTTTCTCAAATTTAAATTCATATAAAGAATATGAAAAAAATTAAGAAACATCCAAACAATTATTAAATGCAACACAACTACAGTTATTTAAAATGGTAATCAAATTACAGTTTATCAATATACGAATGTTTACGTAAATGCCTTTTTATGTCAATTAAATATTTCCAGTTTTAGGTAATCTATTAATTTAGGCATATTTTCATTAATTATCTGATAGGAGTTATGTTTGAATTGGAAATACAACCATAAATGGCGTAATTTTCAACACACAAGGTTAAGTGCAGGCGATATTGAATAAAAGGTTGAATGAACTGTTAATGATGGTAATGATATGATATTTCGTTGATTTCACGTTGAAAGTTCTCCTGGAATAATTTCACACACACGATTCAATCCATAGAATAACAAGACAAAAAAAATAACTGTTCATAACATTAATAGCCTTAATAACCAAAGGCTGAATTATTATGGATCAAGATTATCAAGAAAAGTCTTGATGTCACATAAAAACATATAGTTAGTAATAATAACAGATTAGTAGTAAAAAACACAAACCATAGTTGAAGATGCAGTTTTTAACTATAGACAACATGGATAACAAATTATCATCTTTTTTAGAAGAAAATTTGTACATGTCTGTAATTCAAATATATATTTGTAGAAATATTAGAAGTAATTTATAGTTAAATTATCTCTCACAATTTGTGAAAACTCTATCTAACTTTTTACCAGGTAACAAATATTAAACTACCCTCTTGATGTTTGTTTTCGTTTATGTTTATACCTCAAATAAGATGGATTACATAAGTTATGGTTTCAACACTTAGGTAGCACAAAAAAGCGTACAGCGAAAAAAGCGTACAGTGAAATATGCGTACAAGGGGAAACAGTGGTATTTGACGAGGGTAAGTGGTAAATATTATAAACGAAAAATGTGTACAAATGACCACCCCAGCCATCCACCCCTAAACTATTTGGAAATAACAAATAACTTATGCATCTTAACTAGAAAAATAAGAATCACAACTTCCCGAAAAATTCTACTCATATGCAAATGAGACTGGAGCTAGGCATGGAAGGAAAGAGAAGGCTGATGTGAGGGATGTGAGGTCGAACGAAAGAATAAAAAAACCATACAAAAATATCAAGAAACTGGAGATATTATGTGCTGTTTGAGGGCTCTTGCCTACATAAAAAAAATGGATTAGATTAGACCAAAAATATCAAATATGGTCAATTGTCAATATAGGGTATTATTAAAAATAACTGTATAAGTTACAAAAAATTAAAATAAATAAACTTAAAAAAAAGAATGACAAAGCTTGACGCTGATTTTAAACACGCCTAAATGATGGTGCAGCATACCTCTATCATTTTGCCAGTCCACAGCCTGGGTAAAGTGTGATGTAGTAAATCAGGTTAAATATACATTTTTAAAGGATCTCCAACTCCGTGAAACCAAGAGAAATTTATATTTAGTTTAGACACTCATATTGTTCAATGGTTTTAAAAATATTTAGAACTTTACCCTAAAAGTTGTACACATTTTTCGCCTGTCTAAATGTCTTGACACCATAGCTTACCCTCGTCATCTGCCAAAACTTGATCCTGTATGCTTATTTCGCAAGATTCGAGGTGTACGCTTTTTTGTATATTCAACACTTAGGCCTACATTGTTCTTGAATCTCTTCCAAAAATTTTTTACTTCATTGGAAACAAAATCTAAAATTAAAAAATACATTACACTAAAAACTTAAACAGATTTCAAGCTTCACGTAAATTGCATTTATTGTGCCAAATTCACTTCATTTTATAATAGTCTAGTGAACTTCAATATACAATAACCTAAAAACACTATGACAGGTTTGGTAACAAAAGCAATTTATTAGTGATAGTGTCCTATTCGTGTCGTAACACTTCGGCCCTATTATAGCCTAAGTAAAGACAGTAATGTGTTTTATATATAAAGTTAATTCTTATGTCAGAAGAGACATGTTTTGTTATATTGGCACGCCGGAGGAGGCGCATAAATAATAGCATATTCAAAAGGGGCAAGGTCAAAGTCCAAGATTCAATACCCCTCCATGGGACGACAAGACGGAGGAGCCAGTCTACTACGAGTCGCAGGTAAATATGGCCGCCCTGGCGTTCTGCCGTTTATCTTCTCTTTCTGTAGTTAGACCATTAGACAAAACGCGTAACCGTAATTGTGAACTTATAACAAATGGCGACGAGGATGGGAAATTCAATCAAGGCAGACCAAATCCCAATGGGGGGAAGGTCGGGTTTAGGAAAGAATGCTACCGTTGCGGTAGAGTGCATGGTTATAATTGTCCCTATAAAAATTACAAATGTAATAAATGTAATAGAATAGGCCATTTGGCTAATGTATGTAGACAAGGTACTGGTAACCCTCAAAGTAAACCTAAGGGTAAAATAAATTTTTGTGACGATGTTGATGACATCGGAAACAGAGTCGATGATCTCGACTTGGGCCTATTTACTATTGCCTATGCCAATGATGGGCCTAAACCCAAAAGTTTTACCGCTGAGGTAGAAATTAATAATGTTCCAGTGAAAATGACTATTGACACAGGGGCTGTCGTGTCAGTCATGCCCCAGGATGTATTTTCTGCAATTTTTGGTAACTCAAGCCCGAAATTAAATAAAAGCAGTATCACATTGAAAACTTATACAGGCCATAAAATTAATATTATCGGTGAGTTTCAGGCAAGCGTACGCTCTGGCAGCAGCGTTCACAAATTACCTATGATTGTTGTACGAAATGATGTGCCTAACCAACCTACACTAATGGGTCGGAATTGGCTGGAAGTAATTAAACTTGACTGGACCAAAGTGGGACAAGGAAACAAGTTGGACTGCGGAGCGATCCTCGACAACGGTAAGACTGTTTCAATCACTACTAGGATTAATGAGCTGAAATCAAAATATTCTTCCGTTTTTGAAGATAAAATTGGAACTATCAAAGATGTAACAGTCGATTTGGTTTTGAAGGAAAATTCTAATCCCGTGTTTTGTAAATCAAGAACTGTACCCTATGCCTTAAAGGGTGCGGTAGAAAGTGAACTCCAGAATTTAGTTAAGAATGACATAATATATCCCGTAACTAAGTCAGTATGGGCTACCCCGATCGTTGTGGTACCAAAGCCGAATGGCAAAATTCGTATTTGTGGGGACTACAAGACTACAATCAACCCGTGTTTGCGCACGGACCATTACCCGTTGCCAACACCGGAAGAGATTTTCTCGAGTATTTCGGGTTCTAAGGTTTTTACTAAACTGGACTTGTCTGCGGCATATAACCAAATTTGTGTCAGTGAAAGTTCTCAGGAACTTCTAACAATCAATACCAGTAAAGGTCTCTATAGATATAGAAGATTACCGTTTGGAATCACTAGCGCTGGCGCTATCTTCCAATCAACTATGGACCAAGTATTAGCAGGTCTAAACAATGTTTTTTGTTATTTAGATGACATTTTGATTGTAGCTAGCAATCATTTGGAGATGTACAAATATGTTGATCAAGTACTAAATAGACTTATGCAATACGGTGTTAAAATCAATGGCGCTAAGAGCGAATTCTTCAAGAATAGTTTGACATTTCTAGGACATAGGCTAGATGCTAATGGTATCCATCCAAGTGAAGAGTTAACGGAAACTATCACCAAGACTCCTCAGCCCAAAAATGTTACCCAGTTAAGATCATATCTAGGCCTTTTGAATTACTACGGTAAATTTCTGCCCAATCTGTCGACCTTGCTACACCCGCTATATCAGTTATTAAATAAGAGTGCCAGATGGGAGTGGACGAAGAAGTGTGAGGAAGTGTTTATCAAAAGCAAGAATCTTTTGCTTGAGAGTACTGTACTTATCCCCTTTGACCCTAAATTAGAAATCATTGTGACGGCTGATGCAAGTCCTTATGGCGTAGGCGCCGTTGTTGCCCACCGCATGCAGGATGGCTCTGAGAGGCCAATAGCATTTGGTTCTCGAACCTTGACCCCATGTGAAATGAAATATTCACAACTGGAAAAAGAGGCGCTCGCCTTAGTCTTCGCTGTGAAGAAGTTTCATGTATTTTTGTACGGTAAACGTTTCCTTCTGGCTACCGA